GGGGGAATTCACTCGGCGAGAAAATATTATTACGTCGTTTGCCCGCCAGCCGCACACGAGTCCGTTCCTCCGTTCTTGATTTATTTTTTTTTTATTTTACTTCTCTCTCTTTTACATGGAGCGTTACATCGGTTGCACACGTGCCGTGTAAGTAAGCTTTGAAATTTTTACCACGTAAATGTGCCAATACGTGCACTAACACGCACGGACACACACACACACACACACACACATACTCACACGACGACGACGACGACGAGAGTTGAACGTGGGAGCCGAGAGAAAAAGAAAAGTGAAAGATACGTGCGGCTGCTGCTGCTGCTGCTCTTGCGCTTGATGGAATGTTACGCGAGCTGCGAGTGTGCGAGGCTCTCGAGAGAGTAAGAGAGAGAGAGAGAACGAGAATCTAATGGACGTGGGCGCTAAGTAGACGAGAGGAAAAAAACCTTCTTTTTTTTTTATCAACCCATCGACGACGAGCTTACTTAATTTAACACGATCAGCTTCACTTAATAAACTTTGTTTTTTTCACTGGATTGTACATTTTTTAAATTCCAACTTATTTTTCGTCTTGATAAAGGCAATGAGCTCGATTATTGCGCGTCATAAAGCTGGTAATTCTCGAGCGAAGACGACGTTGATTCCGTCGACGTAATCTATTCTATATACGTGTATGTGTGTGTGTAAAAATCCAAGCGCATTCAAATTATAAAGCCAGGCTCTGCTGCCGCGTATAGCTGCAGTATAAGTTTCGCGAGCGGCGCAATTATGCGGGCTTTAAAAAAAAAACTCGATCGCGGCGCGCGAGCTCCTTGAAAATTTAATCGATATATTACCCTCTCGTCGACGTTCGATTTTTAAAACAACAAGAACACGTACACACATACACACGTATACTACGGTAATATACGGAACGCGAGAACTTGGAGCAAGCCCGAGATATTATCGAGTGCAGCGGCAGCAGCAGCAGCAGCAGCACAAACTGCAGCTCGCGAACTGCAGCTCGAAGCGAGAGAGAGAGAGAGAAAAAAAATCGCCGATTATTATAGGCCTCGCGGAGAAGTATAATTCTCGATAATTTTGCGCCGAGTAACACACTGCACTACTAGAGAGACATGAGACTAGCCTTTGTCACTTGGAAAAAGCTAGTTTTTTCCAGGTTGTAACGCGCGATTAAACGCTTCAACGACGACACGATCGACGACGTAAAAATCTCTGCAAAGCTCGATATATTATCTAGGTGAGAGACGAAATGACTCGTATCGAACGATTATTTTTCTATTTCTTCCGAAAGGAAAATGCTGGACGCTCAATGAGAGGTATCAAGAGTTAAATAGAAAAAAAAACGTGTGCCCGTTCCAGGTCATGTAACTTTTGCGTGGAAAAATGCATCATGTTCTAGATAATATTCGCATGGAAGAAATATATATAAGGCGATTCGGGAGCAAAACAATGCAGATCACGGAGACGCGCTTTCACGGTCGAGCGCAGAAATTTTGACTTCTTCGCGAAATGGCATTTAAGTCCTATTTTTGTTTTTTCAATCGTGTGCCTGTGATACGATCAACCTCAACCAGCTAACGAATATAGATCTGTGACATGTTTGCTTGGAGTCTACAGATCAAAATTAGCGATGATTAGAAACACGTCTGTAGTATTTTTCCAAATGAATAGATTTCAATATAAATAAATAAATAAATAAAACAGCTTTGATGTTCCTATTGATACGCGCACGATCATTTTGAAAGTAATTAAATTTTGTATTCATCACCGCAGCACCTAATCCAGACCTGAGTTATCTACACACGCATCAAAATTATAGCCGAGTCGAGGAAAAATTCGAAAAATCGGATACTCGCATACGCAGCCCGCAGAGAGCCCGCATGTACACAACGGAGTCTCTCGGCTGGCCTCGGTTTAGGCGAAAGTGCAGCGAAGAGGGAAGAAGAAAAAGAAGAAAACGAACGGTACCTGCCTGACGCTCTGCGGCTGTGTAAAATACGTATACGAAGCAGCGCAGAGAAAACGGGATCGAGACTTTTTCTCTCCATTGTATAGATATATATGCATTATAGAGAGAGAGCTGCAGTTACCACACTGGTCTACATATTGCTCGTCCGCGCGCGAGAACCGGCTTCTTTTTTTTTTTTTGCAATCGGACAGATGCGATTTCCGCGTAAAATATATAGACTAGGGGGGGGGGGGGCTGAATTATTATCGCCGATTTAATACCCAATCTCGAACGGAGTAGGTATTTCCGTTGTTAATACGTTGATATATAGCTTCGTCGTTAGGACGTCGTAATTGTTTTTTTCTTCTTTTTTTTTATAAACACTCGGTCGACGCCGAGTGACATGTCAGTCAGGCTAGCACACGCGAGGAGAGGTGCTTAACGACGCAAACACAAGGTAGGTGTATAAATATAAGTAAGTATAATAAAAGTAAGCGAGCAAACCTCGCGTATGTGCTTGTACACACAATTATGCTATTGAGCTTGTACCGTTATCTAAGTCGCGCGCGGCTATTTAAAATAATTACGCGTGCGGCACGACTCGTGTACATTTTAAATACATATATAAAAATGCACCTCGAGAAATGCGCGCGTATTCGTATTCGTCGACCGAAACGTAATAATAATATTTCTTACTAGTTCTTGCTTTTTTCTCTCTCGTACTATACTATATCTCGACAAACGCAACGCACATCTCGTACAGGTGTACCGCTGTAAGGTTTCGAGTTTCTACCATTTCCAAGTAAACGAGCGCAGACGACTACTGCCATAATATATACGAGCTACGGGTGGGCTTCCCAATCAAAATATCGTAGTCGTCGTCGCATTGCGCAATTATTTAGAATTGTGCACGCCGTGGCGGCGGCGGCGGCGGCGTAATTGCTTCCATACGCATCTGCGTCGAATAATTATTCAATTAAACGGATAACTAAAAAATACAACGCGACGTTACATTTAATTGGGCTTGCTGCTATTGCTGCCTATATACATATGCATATGAGATGTGTTGTAATATATTGGATAATGGTACACATGTATATCGACGAGGCGCCCCGGCGCAACTACGACGACTACGACACGCGTTGTCACATCACAAGTTTCGATCGATCTATTTGTGTATCCTGCACGGAGCATATTATATATATCTACTAGAGTCTCGTGTACTGCACGGGCCGGCCGCGCACGACGACACGGCATACATACATAGCACAAGAGAGAGAGCTTAAATGTCTATGAAAGGTCGAAGACCCCCGTGCCGCTTGATGATACATCTCGAGTGGGTTTCGAGAGAGAGGCAGTTTTCCCAAAATAAACAACCATACGATGTACGTTTTATCAAATCGTAAGCTAAGCTCTCTGTGCGTACAGCTTATATTTTAAAAAAGTTATTATTGAGCAATCGAGGGGATGACTGCTTTCGCTGCTGGCAGATGCGAAAATAAGATAATAAACAAACCGAACGTCATTTGGAGCGTAAAAATCAATGTTTTCGACTTAATGATCTTTGCGCAGCAGCGGCGTCAGCAGCAACATTTACCCAATAAAATAATTTCGACGTCAACGTGACAACTCACTTTTCGCGTGAAGCAACGATAATCGTTGAGGAAAAAAAAACAATTTAACGACAATGACAACACGACGAAGGTTCGGGAGATTTCCTTACGGATGAAACACGGTCGACGTGTGTCGAGATGCAAACGAGGACAGCAGCGTGCGGGTGAAAGTTTTTTGAAACGTAAACGCGATAGTATTAGTATCAGTAGGTATTACATGCTGTATATACGTTATAAGAGAAAGAAAGAAAGAAAAAGCAAGCGAACCTAACCTTACTGCGGGTATACGGATAAAAACCGAGCGTCGTCCTGCTGCGTGACGGATGGATGCTGCGGATTTGCTTATGCTGCGGCTACGACGACGATCCCCACTGGCTTGTGGACTCCGAGTGTCAGTCGACACAGGTGTAATGCACCGCTGCTGCTGTCGACACACGCCGCGCACTCGTCTGTTTATATACACACTCGCGTAAACTTTGCAACTCGTGCTCCTTTTTTCATCGCTCGACAGCGAGGGTAAAAGATGTCTTGAAGAGAAAGCGACGCTTCGTATGCAAGAGATTCGCCTATATCGTCAACAATCCTTGACGTATTGTATATATGCGCTATATACACGGCGTTAAACACACGACGACGACGACGACGACGACGATTATTATCGGCGCGCGGCGCTTCTCTTTTGTCGGCGGCACACGACACAATAATATCGTGTCTCTCCTCTCTCTTTCAATATGTGTACACACGCACTTGCTGCTCGTTCGTAGCACTAATCACGACGACTTGTTAAAGCACATTCAGAAAAAAAAGCAGCACTACACACAATCGATGCCTTATCGGCAGACTGGCGCGTGTGTGTATTGTATGTAACTAGTGTGTACACAGTAGCTGCTGCTGCTGCCGCTGCTGCTCTCGGCACAGTCAGTCCGTTCGCGACTGCCGTACGGTAGTCGACTGCAAGAAGCGTGCCAGTGTACCAACTACGTATATATAGATCTGTTTTGCCTCTCTCTCTCTCTCTCTCGCAATCTCGACGTGTATAGATATATATGTCTACTAACGTCGCGCACGCCTATATATATACCTGCCGCTGCTGCTGGGGCGCCGCCGTCGAACCGAGAACCGAAGAAGACAGTTTTCTTTTTTGTCGAGTGCGACTTCTTTTTTCTTCGTGTATATATAAGACAGTCGCAGATGCCTATATATGTAAAAGAGTCCGCTTCGAGGCCCCCAACTTGTATAATAGGCGTATATATACTGTTATATTAGCCCGTATTATGGTCCGCTCTCTAATGCACCGGCGCTCTCATGCACTGCTCATTATAATGCACGCACGTGCTGCCGCACTTCTTATATGTATATCGCAGTCGTGCTAATTTGGCGCTCTCGATGCTTATATTATTTATACATGAATGTACGGGTGCAGTGTAATGCAGTCGGCCTCGCGAATCGTACATCGATGCATTTACATTATCTCGCTATATTACAATGCACTCGAATCATCTGGAGAAAATTGAAAATAGGTATATCGACGTGAATTTCATTCGCGTGATTATATTAGCGAAACGATCGTCTCCAGTCGATTGATTTATATTCTCTTTAAATCACTGCGAGGTGACAATTTGCACGAGCCAGACTGCACGAGACGTTGGTACTATACGCAAAGACCGATCGCCGCGACGGCCCGAGGGTAACTAGAGTTTATAATGTGCACCGCTGCGGCGTAGACGCCGCGCCGCGTAAACTCGCACACACACACACACATACACAGTATCAGCGACTCCTTTTTCGACAGCGCGGCTTCTCTCGTTCCAATGCACAATATACTTATATTGCAAAACGTGCCTCTCTCACCCGAGAACGCGTACATATATTTCGCAGCACGCGGAAGCTTCTTCTACTCCCACCCTGTCGACTCTCTGAACTCTCTCTGCTGTTGCTGTATGCTGTATGCCATCTATTAAATCTTATTTCGATCTTTTCTGCATACAGGCACGAATTTCCATACGTATATCCCCTTCTCGAGATGTCTATTTATAAATTTTTACGTCATCTACTTTTGTGTCCAGGTATATACTGCTCGACCGTAAAAAAATAAAAAAATAAAAAAAAAAAGTAAGAAAAAATAACGTGCAGTATAGTTTATGCAACAAGTGACTAGCCGGTTTTCAAATTTTTATTACATTTTTCGCGCAGCGCGTGTCGCAGAAGAATACCTGTAACTCGTATAGGCTTGACTTTGAAAACGGTCGAATGTTTTTTTCAAACTTTTTGATTTTCGATTGTATCGACTAATCCGTTGACGCGTATTTCTATTATTGTTTTCTAAAGGCGATCGTTGCAATCACTTTTGAAACTGATTATCAAAATTAATCTTCACATTTGTTTCATAATTGGAATTGGTATCTTAATTAGTTTTAAGCGCCGAGATAATACATTTTTCTAAATAAGACTGATGAACTCGCATTGATTATGTATTTTAGAAAACGTTTTGACCGCTTGGGCTTGTGCAGTTTCTATGGCATTGTTATTAGAATCTGATTTATAAGGCGTCGATAACTTGTGTAGATATTAGCTTTATATAAAGACTTCGTCGATAACTCGATCGAAGCCTCCAATTTGAAATATTTGATGGCTCCTAATTTCACATTAGAATTATATAATCGATGAATTGAAAAGGATTTATATATTGAAGCAATTTTATGATTGCCCAAGGAGGTAGATTTAGAATAGATGACTCAAAAAATCATGATCTATACCATGACAGATCTAATCGTCGGAGTTCGAATATAGCAAGTACCGTACCCCATCGCTTGCGGGAACAGTCCCAAGCGAAGTGACATCTAGTGTCAAGACACCATAACAGAGTATAAATTCCAAACTTAACATTTTATTTAAAAAAAAATCGCAGGTTCAAATTTCTAAATTTCCCCATTTCAATCATATAGGATATTTCTGAGCAATAATACTCGAGTTGAAAAAATTTGATAACTATACATTTACGTAATTTTTTTTTCGAGTGGCTCAAACGTGAACATTTTCAATTTCTAATACGTTTACCTGCATTTTTTCATTTTTTCTACATAAAATTTTATACCAAACGTTACATTCGTTCAAACGAATATTTGATGCAGTGATTACTTCTCGCGTTGAATAAAAGTCACCGATGACGCAATGACAGGTGTAAAAATCATTCGTGGATAAACTCATTCGAAAATTTTTTTTCTTCTTTATATTTCCTGCGGCCTTTATAAACAGCCACCGCCGCGAAGCCCCACATGAGAGTCCATGTGTCCGATGTGACGTCATCGCAGCAACACCGTCGTAACATATACATATGAGCATTGCAGCAATAACAATCACCTATCGCGCGTACAAGATACACTGCAGAAAATAATTTAAAGTCTCGTCGAGCAGTGATCATTACTCGTGTTACTCTTTTAATCGCGCGAGCACAGTCCGAGGCTTATCTTATCACTGAACGTATCGTTTATTACCTACTAGTTGAAATTGTATACACTGCAATTTACGTTTTTGATATTGGAACTGTGCCACGCCGTAAGAGTCTTCTGCAACTTCGAAACAGGTTATATTCTTATTGTGCTCCATATTTCGGCTGTGTCTACTTTCGGGTGTTATTAATTGACTCCATTTTTATCGCTATTCTTCCAAGACGAACTGATATTTTTCGTCAATTTAGAGGACAATAAAAAAAGCCGATAAAATGTTTCGAGTTCTTTTTGAAAATGGCATTGCTAAAGACGGCAAGGATTTGAAATGTCATTGGTGTCGGTATAATATTCCACAAAGTACTTATCAAGAAGCTGTGAAGCACACCGAAGAGCCAGTTCATAAAGAAAGAGCGGAGGCCTTCAGCTGGGACAAAATACCTCAAATTAAAGAAGTCAAACGACTTGTCTCACTAACAGAGGCTAATTATAAACATCTGATTCAAAATGGCATTACTTTCAAAATAAAATTGTACCACTGTATGATTTGCGAGTCAAAGCTTGGCCAAATGTTAAATAATCATTTGGAGAGCAAAAATCACCTACGACTTTATGATATAAAAAATTATGTCAATAAACCGTTTTCTAAAACAGATAGTCCAAAGGATAAGGAAAATAAATCAAGAATTATTGACACAAATAAAAAGCAACCACAACAAAATCCAAAAGGATTGATTACGACTGACAAAGATACTGCAACGGAGCCTGCAGCTGTATTTTGGATGCAACTGCGACACAATCAAATCAGATATAAACCCTCATTTAAACAATATTTATGTAGATGCTGTGACAGTACCATTGAAACAAGAAAAGAAGTTATTGCACACATGGATTCAGCAACACATAATGACCATTTAGAAACATTCAAAATTAATAAATTCAAAACTGGATCTGTTTTTAATAAGAAAGATAACTATTACTTTTGCATGGACTGTGATGCTATAATTGGTTTAAAACAAACATCAGTCAATTTTCATTGCTTGTCTCATATTTTTAAAGAAATCAATTTAAACCTTGACTTAATCAGGATCAAATCTTGTGAAAATAAAAATGAATTAACATGCTTATTGTGTGATTATGTAGTAGAAAACGATTTAGCTATGATAAAACATTTAGAATCTTATATTCATGAAGAGGAATTGGGATTTTTGACTTATACTGATAAACATATTAAATTAGAAAAAGATACCCAAGATAAAAATTATTTTTTAGAATTTTTGAAAACCAATTGTCCAGACATGAATATTAATATTCTGCAAAATTGTGACAAATTAAAATTACAAGAAGATGGGTATTTTAATTATTATCCAGAAAACCATATAAGATTAGGTTCAAACATGAATACTTTGAAGACAAAATTTTCCATGTATAAATGTTTTCTTTGTTATAAACAATACAAAAGTTTTTTGGATCTTTTTAATCATTATTCATCTATAAATCATTTGAAGAAACTAAAAACTTTAATAGAATTTAAGAATAATGTAGACTTAAATAATGTTGAAATAATTGAAGATATGGTAAAAAACTTGGACTTGAATAAAACCAATGACAAAGCTACAAGAAAAAGTAGTAGAAGACAATACAAGAATTCCAGACAATTTAGACAACTTAAAAGTAGAGAGAGTTACAATTTAGATATTTCAGACTATGGACAAAGTTATATTTCTACTTTTATAGATGATGGAAACCAAAACATTTATAATATTGGTTGCAAGAACATGGGTGAGTTACAATTTGGTGCCTCTTTAACTTTTTCTTTAAATAATGCCAGGTTCTGTATTCCATGCACAAAAAAATTTCCTGATGATATATCATACCTGTATGAACATTTGCAGTTGGAAGAGCATACTTCTAAGTTACATGATATTCTAGAAGAAGAAAAAGAATTTAAAGACAATCTTAATGAACAGCAAGAAAAATTTAGCTTTTTAGATCTTGCCAAGTCATGTATCATTAAAGATTTTGAATCAGAAGACCATGTCAAATGTTTGGCTTGTAAAACTAGTATTTTAAATTCAGCCTGCCTTATTGAAGATCATATGAAGTTAAAAACTCATAATTCAAAAATAAAGTCTTGGAAAGAAGAAATTGAGTTGATATGGGAAAGGTTTGAACTCAATGCACAAGATTCTTGGTACCATGTTGATAGGTTTTACTGCTCTTTGTGCAATTTTGTTTGTGAAAGAGAAATAAAAATTGCAAAACATTTGGAGCAATCAGAGCACATTGATAATGCCAGACAATCAGATGCTGAAAATAAGATGAATGTTTGTTATGCATGCTCAACATGTTGGTATGGTTTATCAGATTATACTGAACATTATAAAACTAAGTTTCATACGCTTAATTTGAAAAAGCATGGATCCATTCTTCCAAAAATGTGGAAGACTGCTGAAAATTTATTAAGTTGTATGGATAAACATATTACAGACTTACTTAAAGAGTCAAATAAAGTCAAGTATACACAAAAAAAAGAAGAAAAACAATTGATAGAATGTCTTGAAGACACTGTGAGACCAGTATATCCATTAGTCAAGGCATATGGATTTGGATCAAGAAGGTCTGATTTGGGTTTGATGAATAGTGACGTAGATGTATATTTAGATTGTGAAAATAGTTATAGTGAAATTGGGACACAAGATGCCAGTAAAAAGTACATCAAAGCTATAAAAAATAATTTTATGATAATTCGAAGAGACACTTGGAAAGTCGATAAAATTTTAACGCAAGCTAGGGTACCTATTCTAAAACTTCTACATAGGAGAACGCATTTAAAATGTGATGTATCTTTTATGAGTGGATTAGGAGTTGAAAAATCTAATTTGATAAGGTATTTTTGATATTTTAAGTAATATATTGATTATATTATTAAAAAAATAATAAATTTTTATTTATTACAGGAATTACGTTGTTTCTCTCCAACAATGTAGAGAACTGATTTTGTTTTTAAAAAAATGGTTTCTTGTATTTGGTTTATATGGAACCCAACTTATAAATGCTTATGCTATAACTTGGTTTACCATATTTTATTTGCAAAACAAGGGAATATTTCCCAGTGTTCATGAACTATTAAAATTGAAAAATGAATCAAATTTTATTGATGGTATTTTTTTTTAATATTCATTCAAATTTTTTATATTGAAACTTTATTAATTATAAAAAAATATTTCAGGTTGGAACTGTGGATTTTATGAACCTATTCCTGTAAAATCAACTAATCTTACTGTCAAAGATCTGTTACAAGGATTTTTTCAATTTTATGCCAAGTTTGATTTTCACACAAAAGTGGTTTGTCCATATCTCGGCAAAGTCTTAGAAAGAAAAAACTTTGTTGATATTACTGATCTTCCTGAAGAAATGGCACTATATAAATTGCGATTACAAACAGAGGAATTAGAATTATTTAGATTTGATTCCCCAATGTGTATTCAGGATCCTATTGATCTTTCACAAAATATCACGAAGCAAGTGACAAAACTAGACTTGAGATGTTTCAGGAACTACTGCTTTGAAAGTTATCAAAAATTGGTTAGAATTGATAATAATCTAAAAATGAGCATGAAAGAGTGAATAATTTATAATTTAATACAGCAATAAGAATTTGCCAAAATATGTTAATACAAGATTTTATATTCTAATGCAAATACTGTATACAAATTTTTGAATCAAAGAGATATCTATTCCATAGAAAAATTAACATATCAACTGATGTGGTATCATTTTATTATGATAATGGAAAATGACTATGAACTTTGAAATGAAAATAAATTTATTAAATTGTATATGTCTATTATTATCTTATGTTTACAATTATTCATTATTTTACACTCAAATATTCAACATTGAATATTTTAATATTTTAAATTATAAATTAATTTAAATTTTTTAAATCTTTGATTTGATGGATTAGTATTCTTATCATTCTTGTTTCCATGCAAATTCAGGCACATAATCTGCAATTGGTTCACATGAATTTTTACATGTGTAAATTGCTATTGTACCCCAGTGTATACAGTCTGTAGAACTATCTATTTTCAGAGTAGTTAATAGTTGTGGCATTATCTGAAATTCAAATTGCCTTGAACTGTTGCAATTTTCACAATTTGGAATTTCAGAAGGTTGATCACTTGATGAAACAAACAATGGTTGTCCTCCTAAATTATACCTTTTACACAAAAAATAAACAAATATAAATAATTCTATTATTGGATTAATTCACACATATTCGGGAAAAATTAAATAATTTTACCTTATGACTTGATCAGGTGCATTTTGAATCCTCTTTTTAAATTTCAATAACGTCTTGTCAACTTCACCATTTGCCATTTTAAGTAGATCTTCATCTACATTTTCTTCAGACTGTAATGAAACTTGTCCATTTATTTTAAGTTCTTCAATTTTTTTCAATTCTCCAGCTACATCAACGTCAGCATCACTTTTTTCAGAATATACTTCTTCTTCCATGTCAAGTTCAAACTCAGGAAATAGAAATTGATTTTTTTCAAGACTAAGTTCTTTTGCTTCGGTACCACAACTAGCTTTATGTCCATTTTTCCAATGCGATACTTGATGAAGTTGACTGCAGTACTTGACTTTTTTACATTTTGAACATTTATATGGAGCAGCAATTCCGCACACAAAACAAATGTCAACCAAATTCTCTATACCTATAAAAAATGAAAATGATGAGAAATTCATGTTCAAATCCATTTAAGAGATAATTTTAGAATAGTTAATAAATTATAATTGATAAAAAAAATGAGTTTTAACTTACGCAAATCAGTTCGCCAATTGCATTCTTCCACTGGTGGTATTGCAGGATAAAACTCATTCACTCGCTCCAACTGTGATCTAAATATTTTCAAGTTTCCATTGGAATTTTCTTTGCAGCATGAAGAATTTTTACAGATGAATACAAAAATAGTTCTATGGAAAGCTTTCTCAGTTTTTTCATAAGGTGCGTATATTTGACACAAGAAAACAGTAGGTTCTTTACAGTAATCGCATGCAAGTTTTTCGGAATTCGGTATGTTTTTTAAGCTTAACCATGCTGGTTTACCACCCACTTTACTGGGAAAAAATCTACTTTCTAATAGCCAAGGATCTTCGCACTCCACGGCAAATCCAAGATCAACAAAATCAGTCATTTTTTGAATAAGTAGAGAATCAACTTCTATCTCGCTGGTAGTGAACCGCTAACCTAGATTAGATTAATGGATAGATGCCGAAAGTATTTTATAAAAGTTTTTTGAGATATTGATAAATTGATGAATTAATCTGACAAGATCGATGTAACAAAATTGAGACTGGAGGGTATCAAAAATTTAGAAATTCACGAATGCCACAAAAATGCGCTAGCTCTCAAGTAAGAACAATCACAGCTTAGGCACATGGGCGGCTTTTATTTTGGCGTGGAGCAGACAGCACAGCAGACTTGACTGAGCAGTGAGCATGAGAGTCGCGCAGTGAAAGCGGAGGGGGCTCGTTGAGGGGGCTACTTTTTGAATGTATTTTATTTTATCGTTAAGATTCAAAATAATTAGCAGCAATAATTAAAAGTTTAATATAATTTTAACCTTTTATTATGTATTATGCAACGATTGAAATCTCGCAAATTGTCAGATTTTCAATTCTAGGTATTAGCATAGAAGTTGAAAGCACGTCAGTTGTATAAATTTACACAAAAAAAGTTTGTTGATCGACTGAAGAAAGTCGCCAATTGTTTGGCTAATGTTTTCAGCTTTTATTTATTGCATTAAAAATACTTTTCAGACTACGATAAGTCTGAAGCGTGGCCTGCCTATTTGACGAATTTCGAGTTTAAAATACATGTTCATAACAGACACTGACAAATGAGGAATGTTAAAAATATCAGTTTTCGTGTTTTTTTTTTCGTTTAAATTTGACAATAATGCAATAAAATCTTAGGGCATTAAGAGCTGAGAAAGTGATACATTATTAACATAGATTATGAACAAAGAGGTTTATCTGCTACAAATCGGGGGCAAAGAATTAAAAGAAGAAAAAAACTTGAGACTAACTCAACTTTGAAAATGTTCTTCAATATGGTAGTATTATTCGTTTATTGAATGGATGGAAACAATGTTAAAAGTATCTAAATTATTGATCTTTCATAGGATGACCTAGCTTAATGATAAACATCAATATCTATTTTTAAAAGAAATAAACGTTGTAGGCCCAAGAGTTTCTTAAAAATAAGATGTATTTAAAATCTGCTCATTTTGTACAAAAACTTAAGTCTACAAAAAACTCATTACGATGTATTTACATTTTCATGACAAGAATTTTTATGAAATAATTTTACTTTAGAAAACTTTGAATTTTCTAGTTGATTTCATAAGTTCTATCTTTTTCTTATCCAATTCGAATTTTTTCTTCAATTCTTCTAATTCTGAAATAAAAAAGATAGAGTTAGTCAGTGAACATTTTAAAGATGAAAGAAAATGATTGCTTTAATATTTACCTAATTTTTTTCGTTGCCTAATTTCACCTCGATAAAAGTTAACTAGTGTCTTTTGTATTTTTTTCTTCTCCTCATTCTTGTGTATTTTCTCAATTACAGATGCTTTTCTAGGTACACCAGATTTTCCTCTTTTCTTTGTACTAGTGACAGTAACCCACCCATCTGCATCTGGTTCTTCTGCAGCTTTTTCTGCCTCTGCTTCCATCGTCACAGTTTTATCGTATGCTTTCAGGTAAGCAGTCACTCTTTCTTTCAGCACTTGCTGGTGTGGTATTTGCGAGTTGTAATTCTTTATGTATTCTGTAAATATATGATAAAATAATTTTTGATTCTATAATATAAAACCAAAAGAGTTTTTTATTACTCACTTTTCAAGCCTACCAGCATTGGACATTTATCTGTACTCATAGTAAGTACAGAGCTCTTATCAAGTTGTACAGCTTTGTCCAAGGATTGTGAATTTTTGAATACCACATAAGCAGTTTTAAATCCTCTGATTGCCTTTTCCTTCATTTGTAAGTCACTAGCTTGTACAGTTGGGCTGTCTTTATTTTGTTGAAAATAAACGGCCTCCACCGGACCACAAAGTTCTTCAAAAGCACGTTGCAACGACAACATTGTGGCATAAGGTGGAACATCCAACACAAATAGAGTTCTTCCTTTAGGGTGTTCCTGTTCATGATTCCTGACAGAATGTTTCTTTATCCGTATATGATCCAAGTCTGAGTTTTTGTCAAATCGACATCCAACCACTGAAAATAAATCATTCAATTTGTTTTGAGCATCATAACCTTGAGGGAAATATTCAAGAATGAGTGAAAGTATTTTTCAACGCGTTTTTCAGAACTTTTACTGTACACTTCTATGTAAAAACATATTTGAAGAAAAACATTTTGATAGAGAAATTTCGAGCACTTCCTTTTATCTAAAAATATTTTGCAGCAATCCCGGAGCACGTGTTATTTTCGAAGAACGTTTACTTTCAATGAACTTGATAGAATAAAATACATGGGCAAAAAAAGTTATATCGTACCAGTATACTCAGCGTCTTCACCAGCCTTTTTTTTCGTCATTGTTGTTTTATTTATCTTTTACTTTTTAAATATCGATGTTCACTGACAGAGTACACAACCAATACACTAATGTCGTCGGCTTGGAAAAGATGAAAACGTACTGGAGGTTGGATAGCACATGGCCTGCGTATGAAGTCACGACGTGGTCGTGAGTTTCGTACTTTCGTCAGAGTTACGAGTGTAAAAGTCGGCGCAAGTGCGTTTAAACGCCGCACGATCGCATTATTGTAAATTGATACTGCAGTTTGCCGCAGACGCACAAAACAGGGTCGACAGTCTCTACTGTCGCGATTCATTATCAACGAGTTGTCTTTAGTTCTCGGTTTCTCAGCAACGCAAGACGTCAAATCACCTGAAGCTTCGCGGACTGTCAGTTGTATAAGGCATATATATTTACTTTGTACTTGTTGACAAAAAAATTCAAGCTGCGTATCAAGTTCGGTCGGAGATTAGACCCCTTGCAATCGTCCACATCTCGTCGTCGTTCGAATAAAAAAAAGCTTTAATCATCATGGCTTCGTGTTTTGAAAATTTTCAAATGCCTACGTGTGTGTGGTTTTCCGAGAACGGAGAAAAGAAAAATGCATTGGTTGCGATGCTCGCTGGAACACTGGTAAGCCCTCGGTAGATGACTGTTTCGAGTGCATTTATATGATTTTCGATCTTCTTTTTTTTTTTTTTTTTGAAGCAAAGTAAAGTAACGAACACAAGGTTTCGAGCTTCAGTAGTAACTTCACTGTAACACTTGAATAGTCACCTGCCATTGTTACTTTCAGGGCAAATTAAAGCAAATGAAATTAACCTACAACATTATGAAATCTTAGTTAATTGTGCTTTAAATTTTGCTGATTGATGATGAATTTACATGACTAAAATTAAAGAATGTTCAAGCGTACATTATATATTCAAAATGCCCACAAAAAGTTTATGAATTCTTTTCTGCATAAATTGCAACCCTTTTTAGTCATAAAAATATGTTCATTTTTGCTTGATTAGTTTTGCAAAAGAACCAAAATATTAATTTTCTACTGTTTCTGAATTTCAGTTTTTTTTGGGATGGTGGTTCATGATTGATGCACATGCAAAATATCCATCTGAAATGTCAAGCGCATATCACGTTTGTGGAATTTTGGGTACAATATCACTCCTCATGTATGTAACAGTTTGAAAAACCAAATTTTTATGAAAATTCAAGGATCATTTTACTCAACAATTTATTATTACAGGGTGAACTCAGTTTCAAATGCTCAAATTAGAGGAGACAGTTTCAATGGAGGTTGCTTAGGATCCACTGGAGCCAGAGGATGGCTGTTCATTGGATTAGTGTTAGGATTCGCTGCTGTTATTGCAGCTTGTTGGATTCTTTTTGCTGACTTCATTGCATCAAGTATGTAAACACAATGCACTTTCAAAAAATACAATTTAAACTTATATTGCAGTGTCAATGATAGGATTTAATTGATTGTAATCATTATCTTTTTTTAGCTGAGAAACATTCATGGCCCGGAATTGGTTTGTTTTTACAAAATGTTTTCATCTTTTTTGGATCTCTCGTTTACAAGTTTGGTCGCTCAGAAGACAACTGGGCTTAAAAAATTGTTTTGACTCAATTTTTTTATTGTTTCAAAATAATATATAAGAACATGTATATAATAGTATTTGTTATTAAGAATGTAAGATTTTGAGAATTTTTTACAAGATTGAACCAACTTACAGTTCAGTATATGAAACCTATACATTTCTTGGAGCATAAGAATTTATACAAAAATCATCTTCAATGACTATCATTGTAATTTTTATGTCAATGTTAAGAGCAGGATGTAAGCCTGCATTTACTTTTATTCACTATCTACTGTATCTGTGTAGTTTGTAAGTGATATAGTGTTTAAATAATGCTAAGATATATCAACATTGTAAAATACACTTTCAATCAAACTGAAATGTCAGTAAGTCAATAAAGATTTAAAAACAACAAAATTCATCTTAATTTTGTTAAAAAAATTTTTCATTTTTTAACATTAATGGCGCAAGTAATAATTTTGTAAACTAATTTCCTTACAACTGCCACAGCGTTACTAAAAAATTAAATCGCAAAAACGCCACTGCAAGCAAGGGATGAAAAAGCAAGCCGCATAATACGAAGTCGAAAAAAGCCTATCGACACGATGCTGTGCTTGTATTATAGCACAACTCCAATGGACATTAAAATTTGCAGATGCGTCGCCGGTCACTGACGCAGCATCTTTTTGCGAATCTCTGCGCCCTTTGTATATGCTTTATTCCGATATATATTTTTGCGCGCAGTTCCCTCTTCTCTCTGCTTCTCTCTCTCGGGCATCATCATCGGGCATGCCGCGCTATCTCGCTCTCTGTTTTACGCGGCGGGCGCTGATTTTATATATAGGTATATGAAACTTACCCATCTAGCACGGAGTACTGCTCCGAAACTGTACTATATATAAGGTATGTAAGGATATTATACCTATATACATCGGGCAGCGCAAGCCTAGCAAGAGCAATTTTCGCAGTCGGCAGTATTAGTACACGCCGCCACCAACGCTGCATGGGGGACGCTCATACATTATAAACAACGCGCAAGGTAGGCCTCTCGCTCAATTTTGCACCCGTTATTAAAATTGAAACAAAAATAACGCCCGAATAACTCGAGGCTGCTGCTGCTGCTTCTTGTATAAATTACGACAAAGTGCACAGGATGAAGTATTCGGCATTATCCGATCTGCGTTATCCTTGCAAAGGATCGTGTAGCCCCGTGTGTGTATACACTTGCGTGTGCCGTGCAATCGCCACCTGCGACTCTCGCTAATGTGCTCCGAAACCCGTCTCTCTCGCTCTCAGCCGGAATCCTATACGTTGCAAATCCGAGTTTATGTTAGTTTTTTTTTTTATCTACAACTCGCTCGCGATTCCTGCAGTGATTTCCGCGGGGCTGTATATATGCAAGTACCACTGCCGGCGGAGCGCCGATGTAAACGCAAAAACAACGAAAATCAAACTCCGAGTGTCGGGGGACACCGTGTGTGCGCAGTAGTAGTAGTAGTAGTAGTAGTGTTGCATTGCCGAATTCACATTGATTACCGAATGGCGTTTTATGCAAAGCTTTTGGCACCGTTGTGTATACGCCGGGGTCGCGTTTAAGGTTATATAGCACCGACACAGCGAGAATCTCGAGATTTATTTTCGTACCCTTGCCAATTTATACCCTGTCCGACTGCCTGTTGTGCTGCAGTAGTAGTGTATTAACATTTGCCAAAGTGCACGAGCACTGTCGCTTCGTTGCACGCGTTATAGGTGAGAAAAGAGTGCGGATTATGATAGTGTTTTTGAAAGTTGCGAATTATCGATGCAGATGCGGCGATGCGCACGTACACAATCCCTTCGCATGCAATTAATTGACTCGCACCTATCGTGCATCTTTGTTATGAATGCTTTTATATCCTTTAATTTTATTTCGGCTACATTATCAATTTATCGAGCCGTAATCGTTGATATTTTTATTTTAAAAATCAAAACGTTACTTTCTTCTTTCAAATTTTGCAGCCACTTTGAAAATTTTAATTGCACGCGCAATAATTCGTAAATCAAGTCATTTTTTCTAACCTTGGCCTCAACTTAATATTATTCCTTTATTTTATTACAAATATTTATTATTTAATTAAAGTTTGTGTGAAATAATTTTTTTTTCTTTCAGACTCATTAGTGCCAAGTTGAATTTGACCAAAATGAATTTTTCTGAGCATAACAATGCTCAGAGTTCACTGCCTCAGTTTTCTGAGATTTCTATTCGCCCTAGTGTAACAACTTCTAATTTTGCTTCGAATGATAACCATCATTTGCATAGCACACAAGATATAATTTATACCACTGCTGCAGATTCTAACAACGTTAAGCAAGCAATTGTATGTACTTATATTTAATTGCATTAATTTTACTAATTTTCAATACTGTATTGAATTTTATTAACTGTACCTGCTTGACATTTCAGATTAATTCTCATAACAAATATTCCACTAATACGATATTAAATTGGGCCGATACCAATGCTCTGGTCCAAATTTGTGAAAAACAAGGCTTGCAGGCACTAAACATTCCCACTTACACTCAAAATAATGCAACATTAAATGTTCAATCTCATAACTTGCCTATGAGAATCATCCCAAATGTTTATATTCAGCAAGCAACTGAAAGTGCTATCGATAAAGATGATGGTAATAATATAAAAGTGGAAAGTGATGATATTGATAACCAGGTACTTATTATAAATTAAAACTTTTATACTCCTTTTTACTGCATTTACAATATTATTTATTTATTCTTAATAATAATTTTATAACAGCAAAATTTGTTAATGGCTGAGTATATACAAAGGGTACAATCTTCTATACCAATAACTCTACAACAATTAATTAAAATTCAGTCAGAGCATGTAAAAAAAGAGAAAGCAGATGAACATAAGAATGATCAAATACAAAATAATATTTTGAACATTCCCTCAGTTTATAAAAATGCACAGATACAGAATGATGGTCAATTCTTGAGCACTGATCACCCACTTCTAACATTAACTCAAAATGATGTAAATGTTCATGTTGAAAATCAAGCAGAAGCTTCTTCAAGTCAAACACAAATTCAAAATCATTTACAGTCTCAAACTCAAAATTCTAATAAAACAGAACAAAATGAAGCCCCTAAACCTGAAAAAAAAATTAAATTCAGAGCAAAGACTGGAGAAATAAAAGTAACAACAGCCATCGATGGATCTACATTATATTGTTGTCCAGAGTGTAATCTAGCTTTTTCTGATAAGACTGAAATTGAACAACATTTACAAGTTCATGTTCAGGTATATATTTTGATCTTTGGTGTAAGTATTGTAATCATATTTACTATAATCTGACAAATTTTTTTTAGGAACGCAAGTATCAGTGTAAAGAATGTGGAGCAATGCTAAAACGTAAAGAGCACCTGGATCAGCACATGCGAGGCCATTCAGATGAACGTCCATTCAAATGTCCTGTTTGCACTAAAGCTTTTAAACGCAATGAGCATCTCACAAGGCACTACGTAATTCATTCAGGAGATAAAAACTTTACATGTAGTGTTTGCCAGAAAGCTTTTTCACGAAAAGATCATTTGAATAAACATGCTCAAACTCACCTTGGTATTAAAAAAACTAAAGCCAATAAAAAAGAAGTAACAAACACAGAAGTACCAGTTTCTGACGCAGGAAGCACAACCACAACAGCTATGCTTATTAGGCCAGATCTCAATAGTTTCTTCAAAGATAATGGTAGCATGAAGCAAGAAACTACTAATTTACTTCAGCACATTCAAAACTTGCATAAAGACACTAGCCTTCTTCACACGTTTTCTGCTTTCAAAGAACGTATGCTTCATGATGGAGCTGTGCTACAACAACCAGCTGTTAATATGAGTGAAATTTTGCCACAAAATACAAGGTATCTGATGCCATCTTAAAAGTTTCTATATTATTTTTTATTTACCTTTTATCTCTAAGTAAACGAGTGATTTTGTACAAGTGTAAGATTAGAAAAAAAAGTAAGACCTCAGCAATAACTGAAAATGGAGGTGGCTGTTTAGAAACTTTGTTTAATAAGCTTTAATAAGAATGTTTAGCTTAATAAAAATAACATTAAGTCTTATTTCGTAAGGATTGATATCAGAATATCAATTTGAGGCACAAAAAATGAACTATATTTTTGATGTACTTGTCTCAAACAAATAACATTTTAAATATTTTTATAATATTTGTATACATTATTTTTAAGTTGATATAACTTAATTAAGTTGCATAGAAAATTAAATCTTCATTTCGCCAAGTCTTTGTTATCAAGGTTGTAATTTTTTTTCGTTTAAACTAATTTTTATAGAATTTTTTACGTGTACTATAAGAAACTAAAATATACTCAAAATTGATTAATTATAACGATTAAATGATGGAATATTTTTAAAATTCATGCATATTTTCAAAACAAAATAGTACGCGTAAAATTAGTATTATTTGACATGAATTTAAAAGGTACAAATAAAAAAAAAGAGATTGCATATTCTGTGATCTATTTCAATTTTAGATAAGAATACTTAGTTAGTACGAGTAACAGGATGTATTTGACGACGTTATAGTCGGGATTTCCTTAATGAACCAGTCACACAAATAGTAAATAATATGTAACGTCAGAAAACGACTCATACTTTAAAATCTCCGTACTAAATTGTAAGAACCCTAAGAGATTAAATATATTTTAAATAACTGAAAATTACATGACTGTAAACGAATTGTGAAAAATTTGTATTGATCTGCATTCAATTCGAAAATTGAATAGCTAATCAGCGAATTTTGTGAGAGTTTCAAGTTGACTTTTGCATAATTGAATTACTCTAAAGTAATTATGCAAAGACAAGCTCGTGTATTAAAATCATGTGAAGTATCGTACCAATACTTTTTATGAATTCTTATTGATTCATAAAATAGATTTTTGAGTACTATTATGTGTAAAATTTAGTTCTCATTTTGTTTAATATATCCAATCTATTTGATCCATGACAGTTCGATTTTCGTATGTAAATAAAAAAAACGAATAATTTATTTTTTAAGAATCTGCTACCTTAAGTCAATAAATCAAATTTTAACGGAAATTTAATGAAAAAATATAATTTGATCTTTGTAATAACTCGAGTATTTGTACAATGTAATTGAGATCATGTCACGTGATAGATATTTTAAAATTCTACATGATCTTAAGCATCAGTTATAAACTAAAGTTCCGTCTTTAATTATAAGCAATTTATACTTGGTATAATGTGGTACTCGTTGATTTTAACTTTTAATTTTGATCTCTGAAAAGATTATTCATAATCATTTGATATTTGTAATAAAAACTAGGTAATGAAGTAAGTTATAGATTTATATTTATTATACAATGTAAAAATGAACTTTGTATTGAAAATATAAATTGAGAATGTATTTTCATCAAATATTAATCGCCATTTTATTCTTAACCTTAAGTTCAGAAGAGATTCATATAATATAACGCTATATTTTAATAATTACATTTCGATATTTATTTAAAAAATTTTTACAATTTTTACTTTTTAAAATATTTATATTATACACGCAATATGTCGATTGAATAACGTCAGTTTTTTCCAAGTTTAACAAATATTTCACATCTTAAATATGATTTTTGTGTTATTTTTAAAATAATTTACTTATTGAATGTAGACTAGAAAATATGTGGTTGATGACCTATTTAAATTAATTTTAAAATAATATTAGATCGTCGATATAATTAAGTAAGAAAATTGTTATTGCACAATCTACAAAAGTGATGGAAAAATGAACTAAAATACCACTAGCTGAATGATGATGAATCACTTATAAATTATTTACTTAGACAATACTTTCTAAATAAATAATACCCAAAAGTTTGTTTAGATTTCGGTACCTCCTCAGAAAGAAACAATTTTCTATTATTATAAATTTCCTCTGATGAATCATTTAAAATTGCAAAAATGATATATTTCTTGAAATCATATGTATCTCTATAAGTATGCAAATTATAAAATTTTAATCTACCAACAATCTATTTCAATTTAGTTTTAGATAAATACATTGATTGGTCATTAGCTTATAAAAATTAAACTTTGCCATTTTAAATATCTTATGAAAACATTATTCTCACTTTAAACTTCATATTCTGTTGCGAATATTTTTATTTTACATCTATTAACAAAGATAATTTCGAGCTCAGCTCACTTGAGAAAATCCATAATTTCTTCAGTAGATAGTTTCAAAGTACTTTGACTTTGAGAACTTGGACTCGTTAGTGAAGAAGTAGGTAACATCATTGATGGTGATGTCCAATTTGAATTAGTACCTAATTGCATTGGTTTAGGTGATCCAAAATTGTTAGGCACTTGTTGATTCCAATTTACTGGAGTTGTTTGGGGCATTTGATTTACCATGAAATTCTGCTGTCGATTTAATGTAGGAGATGTAAAAGAACTACTGGAATTAATCGATGTATAGTTTGGTACAGTGCCAGTAACAGGGGTTGTTTTGTTGGTAGACCAATTCAATTGATTTAAATTATTTGCTAACAAAGTATCTGTTAAATCTTTGGGTCTTGACTTTTGTGTCACAGGAGTTGTGACATTAGGTTGTAAAGTACTCTGAGTATTAATTCGTTGACCCATTTCTTCTTGTTTGGCCAGTCTAATGAGATTTAAAAATGTATTTAGCGATTTTTTTCATTTCAAAATTTAATCGAAAACATGATATAAATTTACCTTATTTTATCATCCAAACTAAGAACTCGAGATTGTTGTGACATGGGTGATTTAACGGGAGGAGATGAAGTGGAGCTAGACTCAAACATAGCTAGAGGATTTGTTGGTGAAGACATCATATTGTCTAGAGGACTTTTAACTGGTGATGTCATATCATTGAGAGTATCTGACATATTTTCATGAAATTGTCTTGTTTTTTGTAATTGTTGAAGAGCTTCTCTGTGCTCCATGGTAACTTGTGTAACCATGTCATTTACCAATGCAACTAATAGCTCATACTGTTTTGGGTTAAAACTTTGCTCTACACAAAGTGGCAACAAAAAGGGTAAAACTTTTGTTGCTAGTAAATCTTTACTAATGCCCAATTTACTGTTAACCAATATTAATTTAAAAATACCTGAAAACAATCATTATTGACATTATTTCTCTTTTTCATTCAGTTGACAAAATTTTCAAATATTATTCTTACCAATAGCAGCAACTAAAATGGCTGGTTCACCAGTATTAGGAATTTGTAGAAGGAATGGTAAAATTTCCTCTCTTACAATCCATGAATCTAGATTTTCAATAATTTTTGAAAGACACAATAAACAGTTCACACGGACCCCTAAACTATAATGTCCACTTTTGCCAGATAAGCAAATTTTTTTCATCCTAGGGATCACAGAGTTCTTCATACTTGAGCTATCCACAATTTTTACTATTAATGGAATTGCTATTAAACAATGTTCTTGGAGTTGTTCCAGTTTAGAATCTAAAGCTCGAGTCATCATTGGTAAAATGTAGTTTTTAACAATGTCTGGTGAACACCATTTCAAAAGAAGCTCCATTTTTTGTAAAAGTAGCAAACTTATCTGAAATCATTATGAATATTTAAAATTAATCATTTAATTGTTTTCACATTTATTGAAATAATAAATTTAAAACAAAATTTACTTGAGGTGGCTCTTCAATAACAATAATCTGTTTTAACATTGGAAGAACTCTTTCATTAAATTCTTCAGTAGTACATTCTTCCATAACTTGAAGAATACTGGGAAGTAGAAATGGAATCATTGGGGCATTCACAAATTCTTTTTGCAAAGCTGGGAGAACTTTTTGCAAAATAGCACGTCTTGGAAATTGTTTCAAAATTTGAGGTAATCCTTTGTAAAATTGAGATTTTTGCAAATTGTCCCATTGAAATAATTTGTCAAGGTATATTAATGTTTTAACACCAATATCATTAAAATATTCAATCTGTAAGAGCACATGAATGTATCAATATAATGAAAAAAATGAAAAAATTTAACAAAAATTACCTTGACAATCTGGAAAGCATCTGGTCTAAGCTCAGGATCACCATGAAGCATTAATTTAACAGTATCTTTTAAAGAGTTCGGCAAGTCAAAGTTTCTTGCTGAGGTGATGATATTTTTCAATTCTTCTAAAAATCTTACATAATTTGAACTGTCGTTCCTAGAATTCCACAATGGATTATTGGGTGCATGTAGGTAACATATTAGTATACCAAGAGAAAATATATCACTAGATGGACTAATTATTGTGGACTTGATGCACTCTGGAGCTTGATAATGAATAGGTGGTTTAATTCCCAAAGAAGAAGAAGTGTAATCCACATTTATCCAACTTGGCTGAAAATAATAATTTTCAGAGATTATGCAAGTTAGTATTTAAACAGTATACACAAAAAATTTAACAAATAAAATATATGTACCTTATCATCTAGTGATTTGTTCATTGCACAAAATTCAAAACCAAAAATTTTCCAATCACCGTTATCGTTGACAACAATATTTTCTGGATTGAGATTTCTGTGCAACATTTTCACATCATTATGTAAAAATGCTAAGCTTTCTCCTAATTGGTAGATTCCAAATTTCATTTCAAGATCTAAAAGTTTATAATCTTGGAGAACAGCTCTAGCAGATTGAGGCAAGCTGTCAACGTCTCCCAGTATATTTGCTAAGCTAGCAAACACTGGTTCAGTTGCAAAAGCAAGACTATCTCTAGACTCCTCCAATGGATGTTGAACTGTCAAAATTTGTGGATGCCTCAATTTAGTTAGTTGAACGATGCCCTTTTTAAGCGTTTCAATGACATTATCTCTAACTGCTCTGTCAGGCCATTGATCGAGTAAACGCTTTTCAAAAACAAATATCGCTGCCTTCTGTTTAGTGGATTTTTTGAATCCACTGTAAACTTTCCACAATAAGCCAGGACCGGCGCTGCATATGTGTGCTGTGACTTCATACTCTCTCGTTACTGGATTTCCTGGCAAAACACTGGACAACTGAGAAAGACTGTGGGCCGTATTGCTAACAGTATTACTCAGCGTATTGGTCACAGTGTTACGAAGCTTATTAAAAACATCCATGATGAAGTTTTTCTGTAAAAAGAATGTTCTCTATTACTCGACTACAAAATAAAACGTTCAGTAGTTTCCTAACATCAAAATGCAATTATGATTAATGTGATGCCGATGTCACGAGTTTGAAGGTTAATAACGTTGGTGTTATTTACTAAATAACTTTTGCCAGAAACAACTAATAAACCTGGAAAAACTCACATTTGTTTAACGACGATACACCGAAGATTCCGATCGACGCGAGCTGACGCACAGCATCGCTCGCCTTTCAAAATTATTATCAGCGAAAAATTCAGCAGCTTATCGGACAGGTGCGCGCTTTATCGAAATCGTCGCCCGCGTACAAAACTGTTGTGACAGCCTTCCGATGATGAGTCATCATCGTCCATTCGAGTAGCGGGTTTTTTTTTTTGTATACACTCCACTTTTTATACGTTGACTTTTTCAATGCTCCTTTCGGACACTCTCAGCAGCAGCAGCAGCAGCATCCGTCACAATGCACGATCGGAGCCGACGACGTCTTATTGCCTCGCGATGAAAATGTAACAAACATATCGTTGACATTCGACGGGCATACGCGAGGCTATGTGTGCCGTTGCACTAATATGAGTGCAGCTTACTCTGCAATTATAAGTTCCGCGAGATGTGTGGGCGCGCGTGGATTACTTGGCGCGGCATCGCGATTAGAACTTGATTTCCGCTATCAATTAGACATTTGAAATTCGTAACTACCTGGACGTTGATTGAAATGAATTTACATCAGGTGTCGCCTTTTCCACAATTTTGCTGGGTCGCTCGTCGATCGTTATGGAAAAATTCTCATGTACATATAGAGACCGTTTAACTTTTCAATAGTAAACATCTTTACTGTGTCGCAGCAGAAGTTTCATTTTATTCCATTGTGTACACAGTGCGTACTCGATTTTCTTACCAAGTGACGTGTTGTTGTTTTTTTTTTTTTTTGCTTTTAACCGGTCTCATATATCTCGCAAAAATGAATCAAGAAATGTAAGTTCAAATTGAAAAACGCGTAGTAAATTTTTTAAACTCTCTGTCGATCGATTCTCTTTCGCGAAAAGTGCGTTATTTCGCGCCAAAAATCATCGACTAACTCATTGACTTATTTTCAAGCTTGGATCGTTTGTTCCCGGACCTCACGAGCAATCAAAAATACGTTTTGGATCTGTTCATCGGTCAGTACCATACGAATTCCGTTAAAATCCTTCATTTCCCTTCGTTCGACTCAATTTCAAAATATTTTGATTCTTTGTAGAGTACTGCGAGACGAAATTGATAAAAGTCAGCTGCGAGAACGAACGCTTGACAGAGACGGTCGAACAGCTGGGCAACGACGCGCAGTCCCTCGTGCTGGAAGTAAGCCAAAAAAAAAAAAAAGCTCGACTTATTGAATTCGTGATTATCGACTGTATCGTCTTTTTTATTCGATTACAGATCGAACGATTGCGCGATGAAAACAAGGAATTGAAGATCAAAGTTCGGACGATGTCGAACGTGAATCGTCTATTGCTGCTGCAACAGGTAATTAAATTTTTCAAAAATCGAGGAATACGTCAAATTTTTCTTTGCGTTTTCTTTTGACACAAACAGCAAGAAAATAGACAGTCGCTCGGCGGTGGCTGCTCCCACGGCGAAAAAGTTGGCTCCAAGAGCGTCGAGAAGCCGTCGTCGTCGTCGTCGTCGTCCTCGTGTCATCATCGACGAACCACCACCGCCGTCAGCTGCGAGAAAAAAGAAACGCCCAATCGAATCGTCACGAGATCGAGAGCCAAGGCCAAAGACGGATCGTCGGCCAAGAAAATCGTCGACGATAAGGTCGAAGCGGTTAAGAAAACTTCCTCTCCAAAGACGACGGTACAGCAGACCAAGAGATCAACGTCGATGGGCAAATTAGTCAAGCAGCCCAAGGATAAGAGTCAACCTCTGGTGAAGGAGAACATCAGTTTCGAGGAGAATAAGAAAAGAGGCTTGGTCAGCGATGTCACGAAAAAGAGACTCCAGGCTGATAAGGTAAGAGTGAATTTTATAATCCTTCCGCTTGTACGCAATATTAATTGATTGATAAATTTTTTAATGCGTAGCCGAAGAAAGTGAGTCCCGTCGTCGAGGAAAAATCCAAAAAAGCCAAAATCAGTCCAGCCACCGGCAAGGAAAATAAAAAGGTATCGCGTTACTCGATAATCATTGAAAATAACAAATAAGGATTCAAATAATTTTCTTTCTCTCTCAGCCGAAGGACGCGACTTGCGATCTGAAAAAGATCATCCGCAAGAGAACGACCACCGGCGGACTGACGCTGCGCGCCGTGAACGTCGCCGAGTCGCCGAAAATCAAGTCGGACAAGACCGGCAGCAAAGCCTCGAAGAGTCTTCAGGTTCGTGAAACGTTACGCACGTTGTTTTTCAATTATTTGTAGCTAACGTTATATCAACACGCTTTTTTTTTGTGTGTCAATGCAGGAAAGTTTAAACACAACCTTCAAGGTTTCTCGCTGAGATATATCGCTTAACTATATATACGAGTGAACGCGTGTACCACGGGCGAGAGAATCGATTTTATTGAAATTTGACATTGTATTATATTTTAAAACAGTATGACTGTGATGTATACCTTGAAATCGTTGAATGTAGGATCGATGAATTGTGTGTGTCGTTTTGACTTTCTTGTTGTTTTGTTTTATTTTTAGTATAAACAGTATAACTGTATAAATAATTTAGATTTAAGTATTTGATACGAGTGCGTGTCCTACTAAGTAGGCTCGCTTCGGCCTTACTTTATTATGATAATGTATATATTCTCGAGGTGTTTCATTTTTAAAATGCCACCCTCGATATTGTAATTTATTATTATTTATTTAATGATCGCTCCATTATTAATAAAATTACGTATGGAGTTTGCGATGTAAATATTCTCGTTTTCATTTATAAATAAAACTGCCGTATAGTACGGTCGAATCAAACGTAAAGTACGACATCCGTCCGATAAGGGAAGACGTGTGTTTGCGTAGATTATAAAGCACAGTTGCGTCATTGAAGCTTAACGTATAGAGCAAAAAAAAAAAAGACATATACATTATTATTATCGAAAGGGGATGTGTGTGCTTTTTGGTGTATTGCCACGTGCGCAGCGGCGGCGGCACGACTCACGACTACCCGCAGCACGGCAAAACGCGCATGTCCCGGCGGCGGCAGCGGCGACCAGGGTATCGATCCGCTTCCACAAGACTACGGACGATAAAATTGGCGACCGACTGCTGCCTATCTACTACCAAAGTTACAACGTGCGAAGTATAGTGGTTGTATATAGTAGCAGAAGCGGCAGCCACGAGTAAGCACACACGACATCGACGTCGGCTTTTCTCTCGGGCCAATGTCACACGGTCCGTACTGCGTAACGATAATAACGATAGCAGAGGGTGTCGCGCTGGAGTTGAGATCGTGTCCGTAGCCGCCGTGGACTGAAGCACAACAACAATAACGACACACACACGAGTAGTAGTAGTAGTAGATAGGATACAGAGAGTGTCATGGAGGATCTGCTGCAGCAGATCGTCAAGGAGGCACACAGCTCGAAACTGTTCGCGCTGGAAAAAGCTGCACAAGATGCCTGCGGTAAGTTGGCCAGCTTTATTTTATTTATCATAAAATAAAAATTCAGGTAAAGGTGCTGCTGCTGCTGCTGCAGCTGCTTTAGAGGTCACTGACGCGCGACAAAGTTGACACACTCGTTACTTACTGCACGTGTTTGTATTTGATGCAAAATCAAAGATTCAATTTATTAATTGTGTCGTGAAGTTGGCAAGATGTGAATTAAAAAACAAATAAACGATTGTCACATCTACAAATGGTTGTTGAAAAAATAAATAACAACAATGCGATACGTCAGATGCCAGCAGCAGCAGTATCTTGAGTAGCAGCTGTGACATCTGTTTGGACGCAGCTCGATGAAAAAAAAAAACAATTAATGCACATGATTTTTTCTCCTTCATTTTTCGGCTGCACTCTATATACTCTTTGAAATTTTCATGCAGATCCTCCGATCATTAGACACACACACACACACACGCGGAGCAATCGTCGCGTACACGAGATATTATAAACGGCGCGACTCGTGTGCCTCTCCGCATCCTACATATAACGCATGACATATGGATGCCGATGTTTGCTCCCGTTGCTACGCGAGAACAATATATTTAGACATTTAAATGAGTTTTTCGCATGCCGCCGCTGCTGCTGCACAAATCCAAGAGCATCATCGGTATAGCAAGCAGACGTGTGTTGCGTGCGTCGATGAAATCTTAATGCTCGATAATATGCGGCGCATTATCGCGGTAGACATGCAATCGACTGCATATAATAGTAATTTACGTATGCGTGCGCGTCTCTGTGTGTGTTTTTGTTTAAGTTCCTTCGTTCGGCATGACACATGCCCCTTTATTTTTTATTCTATAAACGATTTTTTCCGGCGTTTCTCGCAAATGGATCGGAGGAACTCTTAATTCGTGTATTAGAGCGCTGCACTTCAACGCGCGTTTAATGACAGGTTGAAGCGTAATTACGAGGAGCTTGAGAGATGCATAAAAGCTCGAGATATTGGTGTACAAACGTATATCGGTAGTTACGATATGTGAAAAAAAAATTTGCATTCGGTGCTCTTTGGCTTTTATACGTACTTGAAAAGATCCTATATATAATAATGAATCGCTCTCTCTCTCGAGTCAAGGATGATGTGTGTAGCTTTTGTGTATAATACTGCACTCGGACAGATATATCACGCCGCGAGTTCATAGACCTTCGCAAATATGGCTTCATGTAAAGCTGCAGCCGGTCGAGTCTTTTTTTTTACTTCTTCGTGTATGCCATATAGCGCACACGCAAACGTCATACATCACACACGAGTATAAGAAAATGCCCAAAAAAAAATAAAACAGGAGCGCATTACGAGCTGACTCTCTCTCGGCTCAAGAAACTAAGGAGACAATAGGGGCGAATTATGATCCGTATTGGCATCTGTTTCTCTCTCTCTTTACATGCGCAGACTTCCTGGACAAGCAGCAGGGACTGCTGCGCGATCCGCCTTACGAGCTGCGCGCCAAGTGCCTACGTGCCGTACAGCTGACCCTCGAGACGCGGCGCAGCAAGTTCGTTGCCTTTGGCCTCACCGGCCTACACGTGAGTTTTTCTTCTTTTTTCGGTACATATATAACGTATATAGATTACAGCAAGAGTTATGTCATATGCGTTGCCGTCGTTGCCGCGCGCTCGAGTCACGAAATATGTTGTGTAGGTATTATATATTATGATCGCGTCCAGCACGCGCGAAGGCTTATGTAGGATACGGATAATAATACTTGAAAGGACTCGACACGTCACGAGTTGCTCTCGATCGATCTTACTTGTTCGGTCCCTAGAAAAGTTCAATCTGTGCGAATAGATAAGCGAGGATTGAGACAAAAACGCGGTGACTTGAAGGAATCGTCGATTTCCTGGTAGACATGGTAGACATTAGAACATTATCAATGTACTAATTACCAAGATATAGCCATTTGAAATGTTATAATGAATTGGCACTAGAAGGCTTGTTTTTGTGTCACTATAATTGTTCTATTTTAATTGTGTTGAAAATATTAAGCGCATTATAAATATCTTGAAAATGAACATTTTATCTGTTTCAAAAAATTAAAGCCAATTTTCAACCACCGTAAATGCAATAAGCTCACTTTGAGCTTCCACCGCTAGATGGCTAGTACCTTTATTTCAGTAAATCTGCAACTGACAAAGTCAAAATAATTGTATAAATATTTTGGTAATTTCGTTAATGAACTGTATTATTGTTCCTGCTCGCCCATCGTACGGGTCCCGATGAAACTATGTGTCCCTCGACTACAAACGAGGCATCGCGAAATTCACGCTCGCATTTACAGAGGATGCTGAGGGACGACAGATTCCAATCCCCGTACGAGCCGGAGGACGACTCGCTCTGGCTTCCCGCTCAGATGCTGCACGCGATGGGCTCGATACTGTCGCAGCCCGACGACGCCCAGACCGACATGCTCAAAGTGAGTGATACAATAACGATTGCTCATGGATAAATGCGAGATCGAAAGCTCGGTCGGGAAAATACATCATCTTTATCATCGTTATTATGCAAGGTGTTGCTGCAAGTCGCCTGCTGCCCGTACTGGACGATGAACGGCCGCCTGATAATAGCCACCCTGACGACCTGCTGCGAGGCCTTCGAGCACGGCAATCAGGCGGTGAAGACGGCCGCCCAGGCGGCCACCAGCCAGACCCTCAGGTCGTTCTGCTTGTTTTTGGGTAGGTGGTGTCCCACTCGGTGCCTTTTTTATATATACATCGTACACATGGTCGACTTAATTTTTTTTTTTTTTCGTTTATTTTACACGTTTTGCAACGCAGACGAGGAGTGCCGAGAAATGGATGAGAACGCCCGGAGAAACAAGAACGTGCGCGAGCGCGGGGTGTCCTGTTTCAACGAAGCCCTGCCGATACTCCAGTACATTTGCTGCAAACTCGACGAGGCACAAAAGTCAGTGATTTTTTCTTCTCTCTCTCTTTCTTTCTCATTATTTACAATTGATTAATAAGGTTTCGCGATGCTGTGTACGGCATGAATCCTTGGATCGCACATTTTTTTCATTACTACGCATAAAAAAAATATCTAAAACTATTATTCGTTTTTTATAGTTCAAAATAAAAATCGCAAAAACTCAAAATGTTTAATAATCAATAATCAATAATTTCTTCTAATAATGTTACAAATAATGTGTAAACATTCTGTACATACAATGAGTATTCAAAAAAATCGTGATGCACTGAATTTATTACAAATTTTTAATAGTAGGAAATGAAATTTGAAAAATTTATATTTTACGCTGTATAAGTATTTTTTTCTTTGTCTTTCAATATTTTAAAAATTGCAGGGATGTATAATTACTAATCAATAATCGTTTTCAACGTGGTATTGATTGATAGTTTCATTTTATTTTAAACTTCCTATTCACTTGAACCGCATACAAGAAAATACGCGACTACCACCACATTTGACAATGCCGTCTTGTTCATTCGCCATGGCTTGTCGAATAAAACCCATAAAATTTGAAACTTTCATGAAATATATTGGTTTTTTATCGGTCATAATATCTTTCTCATTACTTCTGCTAAAAACGCCAATTACAGTGTTTTCGTATACTAAGGGTCCACCGCTATCACCCTGTTAACATAAACGTTAATAAGTAATAACGCAAGTTCGTAAGATTGGAGAAATATTTATAGTAATTTAATACCGAGCAAAGATTTTGATTTATAGAACGAGAGGATGTCTTTGCAATTGTCACGACACATAAAATATTTTTTAATAAGCATGCAGGATTGCCTGGAACTTGCATGACTTTCACTTCCATAAAACGTCTCCAGGGATCCTTTTTCGGAATACGAATTTCTTTCCCATTTACGTCTTTTCCACGTTTGTAACCATTCAAACCAAATCCAGTTACTGTGGCAAGATTATTCATGTATGATTTCGTACTGTCCGTCGGTAGATTGATTTTACTTAAGTATTGTGAATTATGTTTAATACTCAAAGAATTTTTTAACTGTATAGAAAAAATATTTATTGTTTCTTCGAGAATATTTGAGAATACTAAGAGTGAATAAAAAATATACTTGGATCACAGCTACGTCGAAGTCTTGTTTTTCCGGATATCTACGATCCATTACAACGGAATTTATAGACCGAAGTATGCCTGTTTCTTTCAAATTACTCGTTCCGGCTTTTATTTGGTATTTGTCAAGATCATTCTCTTCAACGAAACAATGAGCCGCTGTTAAAATATGAAAATCGCTTATGATAGCACCACCACACGTGTGGTGAAAATTTCCATCTCGTACACTTTTTTTCTGGATAGAAATTTGGTACTTATATTTGTTTTCATAGTCATACGTTCCTCCTTCCATTCGTAATTTTTTCGAACTGACTGCAAAAAAATCAGAGGTTTGTAAGCGAGAGCAATCAAGTATTAATACAATTTTTACCTTCGTAGAAAAATAAAATAATGCTGAGAAAATGGAAAATCTTGAAAGTTGACATCATGATTCATATCGTGGAACTAAAACTACCTCGTTTTGCTTTCTTTGAATGTTTTTTTTATAAAAGAACGATAGAATTTAGAACATAAAATTTTTTTACAGCTTATAAAACTTTTTACGTGTTTGCTTTACGTACAACTTAGATAATGACGACTTTTTAATAGTAATAATGATTTTATTTATAAAAATTTAAAAAAACTTCATATTATTCACATGCTAAAAGAAGAAAAATATTTCAAACAAATGCCTGAGAAACACAGCGAATTAATTGCTAAGAAAAAACCGCTGCAAATACATTGCCAATACAACAATTTTATCGACTTTACGGTAATTGCGAGTCCTTTAATTTTTTTATGAATCTTACAAAAGTTTTGGTAAATTCGCTACAATTAGAATAAGTAAATTGAGTATATCGTGGCTCGGAAGTTCAAAAAAAGAAAACTTGACACTCGTGGCAGCACCTACTTACATTAAACTTGAGTTCTTTACTGATTTGCAAAACAATATTCGATCCAAGAGCGTCTATCAACACATTTCAAACGGTCACATCTCGTTTTGTGTTGTGCAACAGGACATACTATTATTGCTTTGGCATTTAACAAATATAATTGATGAAAAAATCAATACAACTGCTATTGGATTAGAAATATTATTGAAGTAACAATTTTGAAAAAAATCAAGTGATGTCAATGAATTACATAAACCTTGTCCATTAAAAAATGTAAATCGTAATTTTTTAATTTTTTTAGTCAAATTTACAAAAAATTTATTTTCCTAAATAAATAAAGAGAAATTAATCAAGGTTGATGAGAATAAACTAAAATTCATTCACAAGTACTCCTCCGTTATTTTAAAAAGCCCTTGAAAGTAAAGAAAAAACCGCTGCCAATGTATTGGCAAGTAGCTTCCTCATACTTTTTTTTTAACTTAAAAATAATTTGAAAATATTAATATCATCTTTCTAATTACGAAAGCGAAACGAAAGCGCCTCTCAGCTTTATCGGGTATCTCAAACAAACAATGCAAAAAAAAAAAAATTTTTTTCTTAAATAGAAAAAAAAACGTTACGTTTATCGATAAATGAATTTTTCTGGCTTCGTCCCTATGTCATAACGAAAAAAATAAGCCCTCCCCCGTCACGATACGTGCTACCGTTATCAAGGAATCACTCTACACAGCCATACAGCCGCATACACCCACATACATTCCAAAATGTGTCAAAAATTCGATCTAGTATATAGAAATATCATTAAATATATCCTACGATAATTATATACGAAAGCCTAAATGTATCCCATCACAAAACTTCCTATATGAGGGAGCAAAAGGAAGAAAACGACAATTTCCCGCAAAAAAAATTTTTCCCGTAAAAAAAAATTTTTAAAAATCGAAAAAAAAATTTTTTTTCTTCGTTTATCGCTAAATACAATTTTCTGGCTTCATCCTTACATCATAACGAACAAAAAAAGCCCTCCCCCGTCACGATACGTGCTACCGTTATCGAGGAATCACTCTACACAGACATAAAAAAATTTCCAAAAATTTTTAAAAATCGAAAAAAAATTTTTTTTTCTTCCTTTATCGCTAAATACAATTTTCTGGCTTCATCCTTACATAATAACGAACAAAATAAGCCAAACCCCGTCACGATACGTGCTACCGTTATCGAGGAATCACTCTACACAGACATACAGCCGCACACACACACACACACACACACACACACACACACACACACACACACATACATATCAACATGTGTCAGAAATTCGATCTAGTATATAGAAATATCATTAAATATACCCTACGATTACTCTATAAAAAAGCCGAAATGGAGCCCATCACAAAGCTTCCTCTATGAGGAAGCAAAAAAATTTTATTTTATTAACCATAAATAAATGAAGTTTGCAAAGGGCTGAGAGGGGGCTTCAATTTTTTAATTTTAATTTTTATATTAATTTCCTACTTTTTTTTATGATTTATTTTCATATAAGACTATAACGTCGAATAAAATTATTTTCTCAAACACAGGCTTTAACATAAAGTTCTTTTAGTTAATAACACAAAATATAGTTGACATAGTAATTATTATGCTAATTAATTTACAATTATCTATTTTATCTTTTATAATCGTCATTATAACTCGAGAATACCACACTGATATACTTACTGATATTATGAAAAAATTGTAATTATTTTTTTCGGGTTTGCCGACACAATACTAGAGTTTTCATCATATTTTTATTCTAAATAAATGCAAAAAAACTATTATAATAAATATTTTAATTTACAACTTTACACGAATTTGAATTTCGCGCTCACCGCGGGTGCTGCTTCTTACAGTTCTGATGTAAAGACTTTCCAACCGCCGCATTTTATTTCTAGTTCCATGTGCTTACAACTCGATTAGTTCTCTCTATTAATATAGATCTCGCCATATGAAAGTCATAGCATCAGTTTCCTCGCCTCTGCCACATGTCGAGTGTATAGTTCAGTATAGTTACGATACACACATTGCCACGCGGTTATCTAAAAAAATAAATCATCGACCGCTACGTGTATTTCAAAATTGGTGAAAAAAATCAATATTTTATAGTTCAAGCAATTTTGTTTTTGTGCATTGTGTTTGTGAGTGAAATGTCCACGTCCTCGAACCAATCCGGCGAAGTTTTCAAGGGAAAAGGCGGCATACAATTGGAAAAATTGAAAAAATTAAAATGCACGTATGACAAGGCAGACTGGTCGATCCAAGCATTGCGACATGGCTTTCTCTATCAACTCGATAATTTAATCCGTAATTGGAAGGGCCGATATCCAAATCTTCGATGCATTTTCCGGAATGAAGAAATGAATTATTTTCTAGAGAATTACTTTACTGACTATTGTTGCATCGTCAATGATTCTCCTCTAGGAAAACAATTCATTAATTCTTCGATTAGCAGCAAATATAATTTTGCTCAAGGAAAACGATTCATTAATTTTTTGATTCGCAGCAAATATAAATACGAGCCCGGCGTAGATAATAAAGGCGTTAAGGTGTTGCACCTAGCTTTAGAAAAAGGATACAAAGACTGGATCGAATGGCTTCTGAGGTTTGGCGCCGATCCCAATGGCGTCAACAAGGACGGAGAGACTGCGTTACATGTTATTATTCACAAACCCAACACACTTTATGATGAGACATTTTTAAAAAAATTCTTCGAAATCATCGACGACGAACAACTGACGTTGCAGATCGATGCAAAGGATAATTTAGGCCGAACAGCGTTGCAATGGGCTGTGGCAACTATTCGACCCCAGGTAGTCGATATGCTTTTTGATCGTGGCGCTGATCTGTCAAACTTCGTTTTCCCCGCTTCGTTTTCCCCGCAAAGTTATTTTGGCCAAATTTTTATAGATTTTCTCATCGTGATGCGTCCACCAGTATTTGAAAATTGGGGACAGTCGGCATTGGTGTTTGATATTCTGGCCGTCGTGCAACATCTCGAGACAAGAGGATACGAACTGGACTCAAGCGATGCTATGACGATTATGACATTTTTCTTTGATCGCGGATTGTACAATTCGGTGACTGGAGAAAAATATTGGTACGATAAAGAAGAGTTCGACAGCAAAGCAAAAGACTTAATGATAAACCCGGATCTGTCTGTTCACGACCTGGTTCAGTTACGACCTAAACAGGCGGCAAAACTACTCAAATTTGAAGACTATAAGGACTTCGTATTTTCGGAGAAATTTAGGAAGCTTCCCAAAGGATCCATAACGGCTTATATCAGTAACCTTCCCCAGATAATATCGAGAAAACTTTTCCTGCCATCGGCAGTGGAGTCATTCTTGAAACTGATTCACTACCGACTGCCAATACTTTGCTGTGACATGATCCTCGACAACCTGGGGAACGAAGATTTATACAAGATTTGCTTGGCTGCTGCAAGCAAAAGTTCGTAATTGCTCGTTATTTTGGATAGTAACAGATTTTAATTAGTACAAAAATAATGATGCTAGCCATGACTGTAACAATGTGAATATATAATGAATGCACAAATGAATGTAACAATTGAAAAAAAATAAAATAATAATAACCATAATATTACCCGAACATATCAGAATTTATGTAGCTATGCAGATAAATTTATGTACTTACATACCCTGGTATAAAATTAAGCAATCTTACTGGTTAATTATAGTCAACTGTTTTTAAACTGGCCAGTTGCAACTGGTCAAAAACTGCTCAAGTGTGTGCGGTCTGATCCAGCGCGCATCCAATAACATTTGCTGCTTGTTTTGTTAATAGTTCAAAAAATGAAATGAAAACAAAGTATATATTCTTCACGAGGGTTGGACCTAGGGGGCTGTGCTCTTCAGGATTTTCATTTTTCATTGTGTTCTTGAAGAGTAAATGGTTAGTTTCAACTTCATTTTTTGGGCCTGCAACACCTGTTGTGGAATAGCCCATTAATTATATTAATTATAAAAAGAGAAACAAAGTGGTCGTCTCATACTTGCTAAAATCTAATCTCAGATAGCACAAAATTAGAATAATATAACTTACAAAATTTTGCATGTTAACATAATATTTCCTAAACTACGATATTTATGAAGTACAATATTAAAAGAGTCTATTTATTTTTAAAATAAATTGGAAAAGCTGTTGCCAATACATTGGCAAAGGGCTTCCTCATGAAAAATTATTTTAATGAAAGAATTCGACTATTTGGTAAAATATTCAAACATTGTAAGGTCAATATGGGTATTTTCGCTCATGTCTCTATATTCGCTCAATAATTAATATTAACTATCTTATTTAACACATGAAAAAAATTTTTTTAATTGGTTGTATTGAGCTGATATATGTTTAATTTATTTATATTATTTGAATATTGGTATTAAGTTTTGATCTCACGTAAAAACTTGATTCAAAGTTGAGCGAAAATACCCACACTGATCTTACGGACAATATATCAGTAGCTAAATCGGTAATTTAAGTGTAAACAATATCATCATAAGCGATTTTCACATCGTCCTTTGAACACTGGTCGTGTTTATGGTAAAAACCAATTAGTTTGAACATTGTCTTTCCCGACCAAGCAAACCATAATACCAGCAGATAAATTAAACTCATTCCATTCCTGTGACACTAAGAAGAATCTATCGTTCCTATTAGTCACCAAAATGGATAAAGGCGAGAAGAAATCCGAGGAAGATGTCTCAGAAAATAATTCAAGTGAACAGGATATTGCTGTTTCAGACAACAAAAAACATGTTGGTCATATTTATCAGGAGTCATTTACACTAGAATCAAGCATGATAATACACCGAGACAAAATTCACAATGATAAAAAAAATTACGAATGTGACAAGTGCGAAGAAAAATTTGAGTTCCGAAGTCATTTGAGTAGACACCAAATATCAGTACACAGAGGCCCCAAAGATTTGGCATGCGACCAGTGCGAGAAAAAATTTGTGAAAAAATCGAGTTTGTTTACTCACCAAAAATTAATTCACAAAAATCGCAACGATTTCTTATGTAACAAGTGCGAGAAGAAATTTGAAAATAAGTCAACTTTACTCAAGCATAACAAAATATTCCACGAAGTTTTCAAAGATTATTTATGTGACAAGTGTGCGAAGAGATTTGGAAATAAACAGAGATTGCTCGTGCATATAAAAACAGTTCACGAGGGTATGATAGATTTCGTATGTGACAAATGTAAAAAGAAATTCGGACAAAAACATCATTTGCTCCGACATCAAAAGACAGTACACGAAGGTCGCAAAGATTTTGCGTGCGGCAAGTGCGAAAAAAAATTTGGTCGACAATCGGCTTTGCTACTCCACCAAAAGACGGTTCATGAAGGTCATAAAGAATACGCCTGCGACAATTGTGAAAATAAATTTCAACGTAAAAGTCATTTGCTTTTTCACCAAAGGACAGTACATGAAGGTCGCAAAGATTACCCATGCGACAAGTGCGAGAAAAAATTTAGGGCTTCGTACGATTTGGCTAGGCACAAAAAAGTAATTCACGAAGGTCATAAAGATTTTGTGTGCGACAAGTGCGAGAAGAAATTTGGACAACAATATCATTTGTTTCACCACCAAAGGACAATACACGAAGGTCATAAAGATTACGCATGCGATGTATGCGAGAAGAAATTCGGACAAAAAGTGCATTTACTCAAACACCAAAGAACAGTACACGGAGGTAAGAAAGATTTTGCATGTGACAAATGCGAGAAGACATTTGGGGATGGAACCTATTTAAAAAAACACCAAAAAACTCACGAAAATCGCAAAGATTACGCATGTAATAATTGCGAGAAGAAATTTGCGGAACGATACAATTTGATAAGACACCAGAGGGCAATCCACGAAGGTCGCAAAGATTTCGCATGTGACAAATGCGAGCAAAAATTTAGGGATCGAAGCCATTTGATTCAACACGAAAAGATAATTCACGAATGTCGCAAAGATTACGCATGTGACAAATGCGAAAAAAAATTTACAATAAAATCAAATCTGCTTAAACACCAAAAAACAGTTCATAGAGGTTGCAGAGATGATTACTCATGCGACAAGTGCGAGAAAAAATTTACACAAAAACCGAGTTTACTCAATCACCAAAGAACAGTACACGAAGGTGGGAAAGATTTTGAATGCGACAATTGCGAGAATACATTTACCCAAAAATCGAGTTTACTTAATCACCAAAGGACAGTACACGAAGGTCGGAAAGATTTCGCATGCAACATTTGTGAGAAGAAATTTGGGCAAAAATCGGGTTTGATCAAACACCAAAGGGCAGTACACGAAGGTCGCAAAGATTTCGCATGCAACATTTGTGAGAAGAAATTTGGGCAAAAATCGGATTTGATAAGACACCAGAGGGCAATCCATGAAGGTCGCTAAGATTACGCATGTGACAAGTGTCAGAAGAAATTCGGAATAATAAATCTGATTTGATACAACATCAAAAAACAGTTCATAGAGATGGCAACGATTACACATGTCAAACTGGCGAGAAGAAATGATGATTGACAATTGTACATATGTACAGCGTTACTTATACATATGTTCGAGTACAAAGTTTCAATAAAAATTCTGCCAAAATGATTAAAGTCTTACCAGATATCAACTATCATTACACCTTTGTACTGTGTCGTTGTGGCGTGTTTTCAGTTTTCGCGTACTAATAATTACTATACTCTCTGTACATTTTAGATTCTAGCTCTTTATGCGACCATCAGCCGCGAGTTTTTTCCACTTCTTGTTTGGAAATATGAATTTTCGATAAACGCTACGTAATAATTCTCGTAATTGTTTTATTCTTCAAAAACCTTATATTGAAACTCTTGGAATCGCGTCAGTGAAAAACGAAAGTTTGCACGGAGGTGGCACTTTTTTCACGGCCGAAATTCTTTGACGTTGTTTAATTTAATATTCAATATGTTCTACACTATCCAAATAAATAAATTAAAAAAGAAAATGAGTTGTGATATTTTTGTCAATAAGCACACGATCATTTACATATTTTGAAGTGAAACGTTTTATCATTACCTTATCGTTACTTTGTACATAACAGTGCGCGCAACGGCAGCACCGTCGTCTTTCTGCTCGAGTGCCTGCACACGCTGATCTCGTCGCTGCCCGCCAAGATCCACACCAACTGCCACTTCACGACCTTCCTCTGGCAGAAATTCTGCCCGGCGCTGATCGCCTTTCTGGGTACGCCGCGCGTCGACAAGAGCTTCCAGTCGCGCGAGCACCCCCATCAAGGGGGAGGAAACCGAGGCGGTGGCGAGCCGACCCCGGAGCTCGGCCGCGGCTCCGGCTACCTGGCCACCTCCCTCGGCTTCGACAGCCATCAGGCCAAGACCGTCTATTGGTATTGATCATTGTTACGATTGTCCTGTACTCTTTTTTTTCGACGCTCGATTTTTCGATGATTCGTATATGTTGTTGCCGTGAAGCATCGGCACCGAGCTCGTCCGTATAGTTGGCTGCGTGGGACCTCTGAGGCCCGTGCTGGAGTCGGTTTTTCATCGGATGCTCCTGTACCCACCTCCGCAGCAACGTCTGGAGTCCTTGAAAGCCCTGAAAGAGCTGCTCCGGAGTCCGAGTCGAATCGCCGATTTCGCCGGACCTCTGCTTGTGGACGACGACAAATCCAGCCAACTTCAAAGCGACATGGCCCTGATGAGACTGTAATGATTCTGTTTTTATCTCTTGTTCTTATGCAAGCTCTTGACTCGAATTTCCATAAGATCTTACGTTGCATCTTACAAAAATCTTACGTATTTTTATCGACACTTAACGTTCTTACATAAATTCTTACATAAGAATTTTTTCAACTAGAAAACCTTAAATATTTTAGTAATGACTTGCGCAATAATTTACGTAAGAACTTAGGTAAGATTTTGATCTACCCTTTCTTATTCGAGCTTTTGAGTTGAACCAGCTTTCATGTAAAGACTTATACGGTAGATAATCCTACGTAAGATCTTACTTAAATCTTACATACGTTCTTATCAAGAACTTGCATGAGAACTCATTCTCAATATTTTCATTGCGTCAAAAAATTCCTCGACCGATTTTTCGTTGCTTCAGAGCCATGGACTCGATCGAGGAATCGACGAGCGGAGGCCTGGCCGTTCTCCAGGCCAGTGTATCCTGCGTCGTTGCGCTGCTCTCGGCCCTCCAAGAGCTCTGCGACGGCAAGGCCATCAGCCACGAGTACACCTGCGCCATCAACGCCCTCTACGAGGATCTCGAGTCGTGCGACTATCGGGGCCCGCTGACCTATCAGAGCATGGCCCGACTGCCCAAGACCTATCGCGAGCAGCTCGAGCTCATGAAGAAGACGTCGACGCAGAAGGCGACGGACTCGGACTCGTCGGGTCGCGGTCCGTCCGAGGAGGAGGACGACGACGATGTCGAGGATGGGAATTCGACGGATACCGAGGGACCACCGACCGAAGAACAGACGACCACGACCACAACGACGATCGCGGACGATGCCGCGAGCGTCCAGATCGAGGACAGCAGCGACAGCTACGACCTGGCCAACGAGCGGGAGCGCGAGCGGCTGGAAAAGCTGCCCAAGTGCCTGCACGTGGGCAGGCAGTTCGTCGAGGAGTGCAACGTCGACGTGGAGCGCCACAACGCCCGGATGTTCGTCAAGACCCTGAAGCAGGACCTGATACCTCAAGTGCTCGGGCTGAGGAGCATCATCGAGGTGGACGAGGCGCTGCAGAGCTTCGCCTCGAGATACTGCCAGGGTGTGTACGCGGCCCAGCAGCGGACAACCGAGACGAGTAGTAGCAACGACGACGACGATTGCGCTCTGATCACGATCATGAACGCCGACGGGATCTACCTGGCCACGTACGCCGCGCTGCTTCTCAATCTCAAGCTCATACGCCAGAACTATTACGAGGACGACTCGAGCAAGCTCCTCGTCACCGAGGGCCAATTCGTCGAGGAGGTGCACGGCTCCGGGGTCCTGGTCTATCTCTCGGCCACGTGGCTGTCCGAGCTCTACCAGCAGGTGCTCGCGTCGAATCTGCTGGCCAAGTGCGGCTACGATCCTCGCTCGCAGGACAACAACGCCCTGGTCAATGCGCTGATCGACGTCGACGGTATACCGGGGACCAGGCCCGGTGGTCAGCTGCTCTCGGACTATCTGCGCCTGGAGCGATGTCAGCTGCAGCGCCAGGAGGCCACCCCGGAGTCCGAGGCCGGTACCAAGCTGGCCCGACGGGTGCTGACCTGCTGCTGGGCCAGCATAGTCAATGTCCTGGCCAGCGGACTGAATCCCTGTAGGGACGAGCTGCTCAGTAAGGGCCTGTTGACCAAGGACGACGGCAAGAAGGGCATCAAGGACACGATCACTCTGGCGCTGGAGGGTCTGCAGAGGGTCGCGAGCCTCAGCAACGTATTGGGTCTTCAGGCGCGATGCGGCACGATCTTCGCTCTGCTGGCCAAGGCAGCCTGTAGCGAGCAGCTGATCTCGAGGCTCCGGCGTACCAAGGACGTGCTGAGACTGAAGCTGCAGAACCGAGCCACGAATCTGCACACGTCCCACGCCACTTCCATGGACGTGCTGCTTTCGAAGGGCCTGGAGTTGAGCAGCCATGGAAGCGATTGTTGGCCTCACGTTTTCACGTAAGTCAATTGAGCTCTATGATGACATTTTATTAATTGTAATTTAGTAATTACAATTTACTTGCCAGTTCGCAGGACTGGTTTATTATTAGAAAAGATTAACAAAAAAAAAATAAAATAAAATAACATAAAGATAACTATGGGCTAAGCCATAGTTATGATGGTCAAAAAAAATTTTTTTCTCAAATTATGTACTTTTAAAGAGTACATTGAAAAGTGAAAATCCTGAAAGTTTCCGCTCTCTAGGTCAAACCGTATTGGATTTTCAGAGTCTTAATGTTGAATTTTCTTTTTCTGCCCATATTCTGCTTGCAATTCTGATTTTATGGGGTTAATATGAAAAAATTGTTAAATCATGGTTTTTAATGTAAAATTTGATGTAGAATTCAAATTTGTACTTAAAAATCATAATAAGAAGTGGAGTCTCCATAAAAATGATATTTTCATGCATTAATCATGTCATTGTACAAAAATAGACATGTTCGTATCCAGCGATATGGCCAATATTGTAATATGTTCATCGATACATCAAATTACAATTTCTGATGAATTTTGGTTATCGGCAGACAAACAGAATTCATTAATGAGCTTGATATGAGTCAAGAAACATGGTTTTTCTCTCATTTTCCTTGATTTTTGACTTATATCAAGCTCAATAATGAATTCAGTTTGTCTGCAGATAACCAAAATTTATCAGAAGTTGTAATTTGATGTATCGATAAATATATTACAATATGGGCCTAATTGAAGGATACGAACACATTTATGTTAGTACAGTTATATGATTAATGCAGGAAAATATCATTTTTATGGGGTTTCAAGTTGTAAATATGATTTTTAAGTACAAATTTGAATTCTACATCAAATTTTACATTCAAAACCATGATTCAACAATTTTTTCATATTAACCCGAGAAAATCAGAATTGCAAGCAGAATATGGGCAGAAAAAGAAAATTCAACTTTAAGACCCTGAAAATCCAATACGGTTGGACCTAGAGAGCTGAAACTTACAGGATTTTCACTTTTCAATGTACTCTTTAAAAGTACATGATTTGAGAAAAAAGTTTTTTTTGACCATCACGCTAACTCTGGCTTAGCCCCTATATTAAAACTATGTACTTCATTAAAAAATTGTATATTTAACTTCAAACTAGCAATGCATAACTTTTGTGTTTTTAAAAAGGGTTAACAATCCATTCCTGTATTTTATTTTTACAATATTTAATTTTTTGCTATACTTTTAAGCTCCATAGGCAGCCTATCATTATTAATAATTTCCGAGTAGTAACTGATCTTTGCTAACTTTCTAACTTTTATTTCTATTAATAGAATCGATAATTGTTTTCTTTTGGTTCTAATAATAAATTTATTAATTCGTATTGTTTTTTGACATTTACGCGTAACAAAAATTAATTAATAATTATTACAGCTGTTGCCTGTACGTGAGCAAACTCGAGCACGACTTCTTCGGCAAGAATCAACAAAACGTGTCCATCGCCAAGAGCAGCAGCAGCGGCGTCAAGAAGGAAAAGAAGGAGCCGCCGTTGAGCTCGAGCGAGTGCAAGACCAATCAGGAGCGGCTCAAGCTCAGCTTCAACATGGTCGGCGACGACGACGAGGACGACGCCGCCTGCGTCGACGTCTACAGCTTCCTGTCGACCCCCTACACCCAGAGCTCGGCGCAGGACAGCGTCGCCGAGATCATCCAGCAGTCCAACGCCGATCAGCAGTTCAACGGCATCCTGCCGTCGGAGTACGCGGCGAAAATCGTTTGCGCGCTGTCTCAGCAGGTCGATCGTCTGTTCGAGGACGCGGCGCTCAAGCTCAATCTGCGCGCCCTATGTCTGTTCCTCCAAGCCCTGTGTCGCTCGAGCAAGGACCAATTGTTCAAGAGTCAGGGTAGCGATTCCAAGAGCAAGGACAGGATCTGGTGGCGCATGAGGAGCAACAGCGGTAGTAACAGTAACAAGCCACGCGACGAGGAGCTCAACACTCTGCTGCTCTCTCGTCTCGGCGAGGTCATGCTCAAGTGCGTCAAGAGCGGCCGCCCGCTGATCCACGCGATGCGCGCCTGGAGCATCCTCGGCCCGCACTTCATGGAGGCCGCCTGCCACAAGGACCGGGCCATCTCCAAGAAGGCCGTGGAGTGCATCTACGACTCGATGGCCGCCCTGCTCAACGACCAGCTCGAGCTGCCGCACTTTCACTTCAACGAGGCGCTGTTCAAGCCCTTCGAGAATCTGCTCTGTCTCGAGCTGTGCGATCCCGACGTGCAGGACCAGATCGTGAGCTGCATCTGCGAGTTCGTCGAGACGAATCGCACGGAGATCAGGTCGGGCTGGAGGCCGCTCTTTGGGGCGCTCAAAGTGGCCACGGTGGGTCAGGCCGAGAGCGTCGAGTCGGCCCCGCTGCTCGAGGTCTTTCGCGTCTTTCTCAGCACCGACAATCCACTGGTCTTCGCCAATGCCGCCCTCGATTGTATATTGTGTTTACTCAAACACGTACGTGGCTGCAGCGATACCGAGACATCGACGCCGACGAAAACGACGGCTCCTCCTCAAACGAAGTCCGACAAAAATAGTCAAGATCGATCGGCGGAAAACGACGTCGAGAACGGCGACAAGGGCCGTAAAACGAAGCTCTGCCTCGAGAGCCTCAAGTACCTCGTGAGCTGCAGCGAGCTTCTGGCCAACATGTATCGCATGCCGGCCTGCCCGATCTTTCACTCGGCCCAGCGCGTGCCGCGCGCGTCCTCCTCTGCCTCGCTGCCGCAGTACGTCGACCCGAGCCTGCCCAACGACGGCGAGATCATCGCCGGCTCGCTGCACGACGCGTCCTACGAGCTGCTCACCAATCCACAGCCCGCTGAATCTCACAAGCTCGCGAGCTTGCAGGCCCTCGACCAGCCGAGCGGCGTGCTCGGGGTCTGGTACTCGCTGATCGAGGGTCTGGCCAGCGCCACGATGATCTGTCCGCGCGCCTACCAGCCGCACGCCCTCGAGACCCTGTTTCATCTGCTGCGCTCGACCCTGGAGACGCCCGGCCCGCTGTTCGGACTGTACTGCGTGAATCATCTGCTGCTGCCCATGGTGCAGAACTGGCTGCGGAAGACGTCGAGGATCAGTCGGGGCTGGGACAGCTTCGCATCGAATTTCAAGCAGTGCTGCGGACTGACCACCGACCTGGTCGTCGATTTTATCGAGCATTTGCAAGGTATGCGATGATGAGTGTTTTTTTGTACTAGAGCTTGAATTGATCGACTGAATTTGAAACGATAGGACCCAAGGCCGAGAGGGACGAGACGTACTTGTCGTTGAGCACCCTGATGGTGAAGCAGCTTTTTCTCGTCATGACCGAGTGCATCGTCCAACCGACGGAGAGCATAGCTCGGCTCGGCTGCGCCTGTATCAGGTACCTATACATACCTTTTTTTGTTTTACGAATGGCCCTATTATTATGACGGGCAAAGTATAGGTAAGACATTTGAAGACCTATCGTAGCCCATTGCTTAGATGGCTTTTAGCTGTAACAGCTGGTACACATTGTAACTTGTGAACTGCGAAGTTTGTTGGATTGGGCTCGTACTTGTATACTTATAAGTAAAATGAACTGCGATATTTCAATCGACAATCATTGTGTTCCAAACGAGCTTTATACGGAGTAAAGTCATTGTTTTTTACTCTGCGCAGTGTCAAGTTGTCGTTCCAGAGTAAGGAGTAGGTACCCTGGAAAAATTGATTATATTTTACTTAATGTACGAAAGGTTGAAGGTTTTTCACAATCAAGAGAAGCGTTTAATTGTTTGAGAAAGATTTTATTGTTCTGCATAAAATTACAGGATATTTATGTGAAGGGTTTTCTAAAAAAGTTTCTTGACACATCTCACGCCTCTAAGGTTTTCAACGTTCATGTAATGTCATTATGTGCCTTTTGAGTACTTTCTGATATCCAAATGATTTGTGGCAAATTTTGCACTTGAAGGGTGTGATACGATCATGTACTGTATTTATATGACTTTTGAGTAAATTCTGATATCCAAATGATTTGTGACAAATATCACATTCAAAGGGTTTGATACGATCATGTACTGTTTTTATGTGTTTATTAAGGTCACCTTTTTGTCCAAATAATTTATGACAAATATCACATTCGAAAGGTTTGCTTCGATTATGTACTAAATTTATGTGATTTTTTAAGGTACATAAGTATCCAAATGATTTGTGACAAATGTCGCACTGAAAGGGTTTGCTCCGATCATGTACTGCATTGACGTGCCTTTTGAGTTTACTCTGGTATTCAAATGATTTGTGACAAATCTCACATTTGGGAGGTTGGCTACAATCATCTACTACATTTACAAGAGTTTCCAGATCATGCTTGTGATAAATGTAAGATTCACATGGTTTAATCTGATTTTGTACTGTTATTATGTCCTCTTTGAGTTTATCCTGGTATCCAAATGGCTCTTTGCAATCCACCACTTCCAAGCATTTGTTATAATTATGCAGTCCTGTATTTGTACGTCCACTGAGATGACTCTGGTATCCAACTGATTTGTAACAAATGTTACACGCAAGGGGTTTGCTACAATTATGTACTTCGAAATCAATGCACATATTTTCATTTATGTCACTGGTCTGATTTTGACTTTCTATTTTCAAAATTGGTAGACAATTCTTGAACTCAGTCTTGCAGATGCTTGTCGATAGCAATTTCAATTCAGTTTTAACATCTTTGCACTCAAAATCAACGAATATACTGTCACTGGTCAGACTTTTGTTTTCTATTTTCACCATAGATTGACAACTTTGATACTCTGATTTGCAGTTGGTTATTAACAGAGACTTGGGTTCAAGTTTAACATTCTTGCACTCAAAATTGATGGATACATTTTCATCTAAATTTTTGAATGAACCAATCTCCTCTTTCACATGACTTGTCTAAAATTAAAACCGTAATAAGTTTTTGATAGTGGAAAATTAAATTATAATCGTTAAAAGATAATTCAAATCATCAATCTTACCAATTGTTCACGAAATGACATGGTTCCAAAGTTTTTGACATCACGTTTGTCCACGGAATCGTAATTATTATCTTCGCCTGTATCTGACCAAGTATCGCACGGCTCTTCTTTCACCCTGAAGAATAATAAAGTTTGATAAAGCGATCGCTTAATAAAGTATTATGGAATGCACAAAAAATGTCATACCTAACAGCGTCCTCTCTGCTTTCCATCATTCGCTGTTTTGTTAATGTAATCAGTTATTACAAACCACGTTTCTACGACGTACACCAAGAAAATGCTTTAGGTTAGATGCTCCGAGTAGCCAGCACTGTATCGTTATTTCACAAATTCGCAAACATTCGTTTATTGCAGGAATAGCTTTAAGCTCTCTTTGTTAGTGACTGAACGCATCATTCGCGAGAAGAACCCGCGATTTTTTTAGCTCCTCGCCCCTCGGCGATACTTTCCCCCTCTACTGTCGACTGACCGAATACTCAATGATATGTAGTACAGCGAATGCGATATTGACGTGTGCCAACTGCCTATACAGCTATACACCGAAATTGCAATAAAAATGTTATTCATGCAGGCGCAAAATTTTCTTATAAATCGTACGATAAGATGTGTGGGGAGAAACATTCTCACAAAAACACCCCTCTCTCTTTTTTACATAACGCGAAAAAAGAGGCTGGCTAGTTTCTTCAAAATAAATGTTGACTCGGGTAGATAGCTCGTACCTACGATCCAATGCACAGATTTTTCAAATTCCTGATAACACGATCGAGTATGTACAACACGGCTATAGGTATGGTTTTGTGCACGCGCTCAAAGTACGCGAGACGCATATCGAATACGCGTAATTCAAGCCGACACAATTTATACTGCACGTACACATATCATCGGTGTGTTGTACACACGCTCCCATGCGTTTGATGGCTAATCGAGTCTTGTGCGAACTTGTCATCTCGCTCAACGCTATCCTATCCTACGTATCGACACGCACGTATGTAAGTACGATTAACTATTTACGTCGGCGCGACGGCAGGTGTGTGTATACATGCGGATCGTAGCTCTCTGCGTGTAGTCTCTGTATATAGATGCCATAACTGCAATATCTGTCGTCGAGTGCGTGTATACGGGTGTACGATTTCACTCGTCGATGTCTTTTTTTTTTTTGCCCACTGTATACATATAAAACGTATCATACCCTTGCACGCGCGCGCGCCCAGTCATAATATACACGCGACTTTCTCACAGTTAAAAATAATACGCGTAAGTAGTCTGGGATCAAACATCATCAGCATCAGCAGCAGCAGCAGTACTGAATTACTGATCCTTGCGTAAAATTGCTCTCTTTCTCTCTATCTATCTCTTGTGTGAGCTCTCCGCTATGATCTGGAAAATGAGGCGTGACAGCTCTCAGCCTCGCGTCGTCGTCTGTATACCTATGCGCGCGTGTGTGCACGCGACGTGCAGCTATATGTATGTGTACCATCTGATACGCAACGATGATACACGACACCCTCGTACTGATATATATTCGCGCTGCTCACGTCTATATAATAATGTGCGTGTGCCGCTGCATAATACATATATACTTAACTTGTCTCTGTATTATAATGCACACGATACGCACGTGGATCGTTGATACGTGAGATCGATCGCCGTCGTTGGCGTACGGTATGAATGAAAAGATCGTTGCAATAATACAATTACTCATTCATAATCAACGTCACACGACATGATAAGTAATTATTATTCATAATTTTAGATCGTGTTGCATGTATATTGGCTCTTGCACCCAGATAATTCATTTTTTTTGTCAATGTATCGATACTTCGAATTTCGGTTAAAAAAAAGTTTCAAACAAGTTCCAGTAGCCATTTCCTTTCTCATTACACGCGTCTTAGATTCACGGCATCGATTCGTATCTCGTCCTCTCGCACAAGTATCGCCTCGATCTTTCTCTACCTTTTTTTTTTCTACTACATCGTGTGCGAGTAACTCGATCTTCGTCAAGGGGTATCGATTTTACGCTCGCGCGCGCGCGCGACTCGCGACGCTTAAAAACGCCTGTACAGAGTACCGGTATGGTTCCTGCTGCGCTGTAAGTATATCAATAATAATATGCAACCTAGCGGATCTCGTTATAGAGTGCGATCGATGAAAAATCAACGAGGAGCCGACAATGTTGGCTATATGGCATGCGCAGGGTAATGCGAGATCGTAGCAGAAGCAATTGCGTGGGATCGATGACTGACTGTGTCAAAATACGTCTATAGGAAAACAAAACAAAAAATTCAAGTTTTTTTTTCAAGTTTATTTAATTCAAGTATTTAAATGATATGCAACATTTAACGTATCGTCATTGTGAGTCTTGGATCGTAGCCGCCAAGCAAATATCATACAAATGTTCGTTCTTCAGATTTTCGATGATTTTTTCGCAGCAGAGAATAGGCAACTGATAACGTGTGAGCTCGAATAAATAAACCAGGGCCCAGCGCCGGAAAAATCTTCTCGATATTTTCTCGCACAGATGCTCGGCACAACGGAGGCAGAGCCAGCGATCTTTCAAAGGGAGCCAGTCAACTACCCAAAGGTGGTACTCGTAGAAATTTTGATACGTGAATCGTTTCTCCGCCTCTTCGGGTCGTAACCGAGTCAGATCGTAGAGCGACAGACACGAAGTTGTCGCGAACTTCCTCGGAATGATCATTATATTTTTTGCTTGCCTCGCGAACTCTTTGCTATCGTACCAAGATCCCTGAAGTTTCTCCAACTTTTCGAACAATTCGTACTTGGCGAAAAATTTCATCATCGTCAAGGCGTCGCTTCGATCGAGCTCGTATCCTCTTTTCTCGAGATGTCCGATGACGCCCACTACGTCGGTCGCTAGTTTCAATTTAAAGTCATGCCACGTTTGGTTGGGCTCGCATCTATTGACGAAGTCGCTACTGGGAGGGAAAATGAAGTTAGACAGATCGGCGCCACGATCCAAGAGTAAACCGACCACGTGCGGCGTCAGATTCGCCACGGCTATTTGCAGCGGTGTCTGGCCCAAACTGTCCCGGACATCGACCTGCACCCGTTGATTATTTTCGTCGTTCAACTGGAAGAATATTTCCACCAAGCTATTGCCGACATTATTCAGGCAAATAATGTGCAGCGGTGTCAGTCCCTCCGCATCGGCTGAATTCGGGTTGGCGCCTTTATTCAGCAATGCTTGAACTGTATCTTCGTGGCCAAATCCACAGTACTTGTATACCAATGAATCGCGGTGAATCGCCAGTTTCTTGCCAAATGAGATTGGGATCTTGGCCGAGCTCGAGGAATTTTTCGACGACGTCGTAGCAGCCCCGAGACACGCAGGCCACATGAAAATGCGTGAGGCCTGACTCGTCGGCGT